AATTGCAAAAATAACAAAAATTCGTGTATTTATTATAATTTATATTGCAACTCGCAGACATTTAGAGGACTTTATTCACATTGAATTAGATATTGCTTTCCTATAACTCTTGTAAAATATATTTCTGACGATTTACTAAGTATTTGTTTCAAGAGTAATAATATTTATTTATCAAATACTTCTTTTAATACTATCGAAAGATTTACCAAAGGAAGACTGTGTACATAAATCGTTTGCTTGGGCACCTCTGTCCCTTTCTTGTTTCCACCGTGAAACATTTGTGTTTGCATAGTTGTGTTTTGATTTTAAAGGTGGGATATGACAGTGAATTTACAGGGTACAGAGGAATAACATCTGAGTCCTCAGGAATGGCAACATATGGAGGGTATCATGGGCGAAACAGTATACTCTGTTATGTCCATGATACTACTCATGTCTATAGGCGACGGTTACCACTTCAGATAGGCCGTCAGCTTGTTCGCCATTCTAAGTTGCATAAACAAAGATGCAGTTCCAGTTCAAATAGTTACAGGATACTTTTAACCTAATTATACGTACGTACGTATACCACTACTGTCCATATTATTTCCTTTAAAAAAAAAAACAATAACAAACCACATGCATTATCTCAATTTGGTTTACGGTTAACTCTTTTTTGTTTGACCAATGATGCCACATCAATTTCGTGTCCCATTACCTTCTTCCTCGAAACACTGTAATTTATATGAAAGATAACATAAATACTTAAAATACTGTGATTAAGATGTAAGAGGCAGTGTCTCTCCTTTTAATCGATTATAACGAAGTTAGCGAATTGGTTAATTATAACCGGTTCTGAGTGGGGTCACTGCACTGTAAGTGATTAATGTAATTAACGGACAGTTAGTGTCCTTATATTATATAACTGGTCTACAATATGTATTTGTGTAAATATGGTCCCGGATTCGATTATCACTTAGTTTAATTTAGACAGTTATATTTTCAATATTTTTAGTTTCGGACGGTATTCTAAAGTTTACGAGTCTTTTTGAATTTTTTTTTTAATAAATGATAATGGAATGGTAACCCCGCCTGCACTATCGGTATACACTGGCGGGGCACCAGTGAGGGATGACAGACGTGGACGAAAGCAGGTCCGTTTACCCATCGTAACGAATTCAACAATTAAACATGATGGTTTCCAGGTGGAACTGCATGAAGATCAACCTGATAGGAAATATTGCTAGCAATAGGGCTGTTGGGCTACTGACCACTAATAATCCCTTCCCCCCTCCCCCTCCCATTGATATCTATAGACGACGGTTACTCTTCTCCATCAGGTCAGCTGTTAGCTTGTTTGGCATTCAAAGATGTTTAAAGAAACTCAGTTTAAATAAATAACTAACATATTTATCAACACAGACCAACACAACAAATCAGTTTGCAGTATCCAAACTATTCAATTTCGAGTTAAACCAACTTTAACTTACTAGCGGTTAAACTTATTCCAATTAAAGTTAACCGAACAAACGATACAGAATACCAGGCTAACATAGGAGTAAAGGAGGTTAGCATTCCAGTATATCAAGCTATAATACAAATGGACAGGTTTATTTCAGTCCAACTGTAGCTATTTATAGACGTTGCTGAAAAGTGTTAAAGTTTGCTTATCTTTATTGTCCACTGCTGAATCCCATAAATTATCTATGTACTACCAATATCATAAGGAATAGATCCAAAATACCCGCCTCTAATAACTCCCTACTACACATACGACCCCCTTTTTTAAAAGTAGAAGGACGTGAATTCCCATTGCTAGAAATATACACTACGTTTGTCCATACGGATTCGCCACACAAAAATCTTTCTTCTCCATCGCTTGTCAGTTCTTCGGGCTATGTGACCAGCCCATTGCCACTTCAGCTTGACTATCAATTGGACTATGTTTACAATATTACAAGTCCAGTTTCCGTATGGTCCCGGAATAGAATGGGCCACTTCTTTCATTCTCGTAGATGTCGCGACTAAGAGAAGTTAATGGTCGAGACATGAGCAGCAGTATTCTTCTTAAAACATCACCAAAACCAAACTGCGATTGTGAACCCGGGTGCCAAGCGTGGCAACTACTGGCAACGTCCCCCCTATAGTAAGGGAAAGGACATTCCTTTAGCCTATTCCTATTCTATGCAGGGACCACACAGCAAATATTAATATATAATAATAATAAAAATGTTTAAAAAAAATATTTTTTTATAATAGTAATAATTACGTTTCTTCAAATTATATATTATATCTACCAGATGGAGACTTTGTACAAAAGTCGATTGCTTAGGTACCTCTGTGCCATTCGTGTTTCAACCGTAAAGCAGTTGTGTTTGCATGACTGTGTTTCGTTTTGAAGGGTGGAATATGGCGTGAATTTACTGGGTACGGAGGAATAACACATTAGTCCCCGGGAACGGCAACGCATGGGGGTATCATGGGCGAAACCGTATACTCTGTTATGTCCATGGTACTGCTCATGTCTATAGGCGACGGTTACCACTTTCCATCAGGTGGGCCGTCAGCTTGTTTGCCATTCAAAGTTGTATAAAAAAAAATATATATAGGATTTATATTTAGTTTAATTTTTATATTAAACCGTGAGAAAAACCTGAGCTTTAACAATGAAAATAAACCTTCAATTCTCGAGAGAAGAGAGAATTTTAGTCGAAAACACTTTGAATTATCGTAATTCAATTGTTCGAAACGAGCAAGTTTGCACTGGACATATTTTACGAAATGGGGGTAGTAGGTGAGTGGGGAGCACATGAGTTATGGAGACCATTGTTCGTGCCATTCTATGGTGTGTAAACGTGTTTATGGTACCAAAAGGGGTCAGTCATAAACAAACTATGAATGAAAGCTTTGCTCTTCGGCGTTTACCTATAATAACTAAGATTGGAGTTAGTAAGCCGCGGCCAATTGCAAATATCATTTTCTATACATATACTATACTACAGGCCCGTCCCGGCTTCACACGGGTAGACTTTTTTACAACATTTTAAAAACTAGTTATTGTGACATAACGATAATAGTTGGACATATAGTGTCGCGAAGTTTTTTATAGTTATTGATATTTTCTTCAATATTGTAGAACATACTTTTGTTCTATCATCAATAGTTTCCGGAACCCACGCGACGAAAGATATTTTATAGCATTTTGTACACCTTGATTTACGTTACTAAAGCTTTAGTAAGGATCCCTAATGTTTTCTAGCAATAAATATAGCCTATGTTACCCAGGGTAAATGTAGCTTTCTAATGGTGAAATAATTTTTAAAATCGGCAAAGTAGTTTTTGAGTTTATTCATTACAAACATACATAAACACAAAAATACAAATCTTTCCTCTTTGTAATATTAGTGTAGATAAATAAGTAGATAGATTAATATGAATTACTTTGTATATAATCTTACGACTAAGTATGATAATCTAAGATAATGTTTCTAGGTCTATATTCCGTTTCCCACTAACTTAGGGGGGGGGGGGAGAAGGGATTATAAGTAACGGATACTAACAAAATAGATGGATTGACAACCGCAGTTAGGCTTTGCAGATGTTTTAAAAAGAACACTGGTGCCCATCCCTCGCCTTTCCTTAGTCCTTTCGACACCCACTGGAAAGGAAGGGGTGGTTTATTCTATGCCGGGACCATAAGGAACAAATACTAATTATTATATATTGTTAAAATTAGTATAATTCATGTCTATCACTTTCCATCAAAAGGCTTTAAACATTTAATTCTTTAAAAAAAATATAGGAGATCATAAACCTCATATTTGTAAACTGATAGCAATACGACTTAAACCCGTTGATATAGAGTTCAAAATCGCGTAATTTAATTCCAATCGTGCAACAATTGACTCGATCAGACCATACTTTCGAGAGACCTTTCGCTCAAAGCCTATATGCGAATGCATTTACGGCGTTCATACTAAAAAGAAGAAAGTGTATAAATGCAATTAGCAAACAAAATGTACGAAGTTTATGCTGATATATCTTGAATTGCATCGCATGACTCTTTTTAACACGTTGTTTTTTTTTTAATGGGTGAGAATTAAATGGTCGAAAATTAAGTTTTACCAGAGTTTTTAGCAGAGGAAATTTTTTTACAGAAGTCGTCTCTGTCATACTCTTAGATTATAATGTATATAGATTGGCAATACATGAGACAGAAAATACAATAACCCGTATGTTAGAGCGAGAGAGACAACAGGATAATATTTTTTTTATGCAACTTAGAATGGCAAATAAGCTGACGGTCCACGTGATGGAAAGTGGTAACCGTCGCCTATAGACACGAGCAGTAACATAGACATAACAGAGTATACTGTTTCGCCCATGCGTTGCCATTCCTGAGGACTCAGGTGTTATTCCTCTGTACTCAGTAAATTCACGCCATATTCCACCCTACAAACCGAAACATAGCCATGCAAACACAACTGCTTCATGGTAGAAACACTTTTGTACAAACTTTTGTACAAAGTCTCCCTCTGGTAAATGTGCTTGCATGGCTGTGTTGAATTGTATGCATGAGTGGAATTTGGCAGTGTAATTATAGGATAAAGAGACATAATTTATTAGCCTTTAGGAATAGCAGTGCATAAGAAATACTGTATGGTCATAGTGTATTCTGCGATCTTCATATTTCAATACGACATTTAAAATTTCAAGCCTCATCTCATTAATATTAGAAATACGAAATTTTAAAAAGATGGATATTTAGATGTTTGTTACTCTTTCACGCAAAAACTACTAAACAGATTTGAATGATATTTGGTACATGGGTAAGATATATCCTAACTTAGCACATAGGATACTTTATATACTAATTCACGCGGATAAAGCCGTATCATATATCTAGTATTAAATAAGTTTGTAATTCTAGCATATCGTACTTTGACATACATTAGATAAGTACGGGTGTCTTTTTCTCGATTCCAAAATACATTTTGCCCCATAAAATAAGACGGCGAATAGATATTTAAAAATAATTATTTTTATTCCTATTCATTATTATATTTTTGTCATAGCAATTATAATATTTTACATTAGTCTATTGAGAACAATCCATCAAATTAGCAACCAGCTAATGATTTCATTATGATTGGAGATATTTGTACTCCAAGACACTTTTTAATCTATTTCCTTCTACTAAATGCTTCTTGTATATCGACATTCGATAAACCTTTGGTTTCTGGAACTATTATATAGCTAACAACAGCATTAATCAGGGCAAAGCCGGCAAATATATAAAACGCCCCGTGCATTCCTAAACAACTTGTGATATATGGAAAGATCGCTATAATAGCAAAATTTAAGAACCAAACCCATTCTCCTATTAATAGCGAGGCAATATTTTGTACCTGGAAACAAATAAAACATATTATTAATAAAACAACTCACAAAATCTTAGATAAAATCTCAGTCCTAGAGAATGGTAATATATGAGAGGGTACCATGGGTAGTACAACATATTTTTCAATGTTTATCAGGTGGGCCGTCTGCTTGTTTACTATTCCCTGCAAACAAGCAGACGGCCAATCATAAAAAAGTACGATAAAACATGTCACAAAAACAATAAAACAACTCACAAAATTATTATTGTGAGTTGTTTTATTAAAGACACTTATTTAATAAATATTTATAAAGACGGTTAATTTTTTAAAGAATGCAAATATTTATTTTTAAATATTTAAATATCCTTCGAGGTTTTAATATTAAAAAGAAGAAACTTCAATCAATGAAAGTAAGTTAGTATACAGGTGCAATTGAAAGGAATTGTGCTTTCAAAGGAATATTCAACCAGTAAAATTAAATACTTTAAACGGCATTTTTTTTTATTGATTTTGATTCCATGTTTATTTTTATTTTAAATAAATGTACAGTAGTCACCCTGTATAAATAATTAAAAAACTAATTTTACCATAGTAAGGTACAACTCAACATAATATTGGAACGACAGATTCCAGCACTGACTTTCTGTTAAGCCCATATTTATGTTACAAAAACCAGCAATATGAACAATTAAATTATATATATTAAACTATATTATATCTACGATAAGAACGTTATTAGTACATTACTGCAGCGGCCAGCAACTGAGGCATTGATGGACGAACGTACAAATGTGGGCCGAGGTGTAGCCGAGGCACACATACGTGAGTCCATCAATGCCTAGTTGTGGCCAAGGCTTGTATAGTACTTTTCTCAAACAATGCGCGGAAATCAAAAACTGAATTTTACTTTTTAAGTTCAATGACGAATAACGAACAATAATAATTTTTCACGCGCCATAATGTTCCTTTGTTTTTTTTTCAATAAACAGCTTTCTATTTGCAAGCCAGTTCGAAATTTAAATAAAACCTTTTATTAGTTATCTCCTTGGTAGCCATATTTCGAAGTAAAAGGTCATTCCATTTTTTAAATATACGAGACAGATATGAGTTTACATAGTAATTTATCTGGCCGCAAAACACGACAGATATGGATTTTCATACAACTTTTGCCGGCCGCTGCCCGCATGTAATTGACCAGTACGGCAATTTTGATTTATCTCGAAGAAGATTGTCAAAATAATGCTCACATTTCCAAGCATGTTTGAGAAATAATAATTATAATCACAATAAAGATTAACAATATTTTTAACAATAATGTTAGAGTCTCCATCTATGTTAAGAATAAAGAAAACAGTAAGAACGGAATGAACGTAAAGCGCTTGCTGTAACCTCGGATATTCGGATTATACAATAAAATTTTGTATAGATGGCGTTGTAACGAGATACACTACACGAGATACATTTATATATTTTAAATGATATAGAGAGATTTATTACTCTGTGTAGTCATAAATCGAAATAAATTATAAATTAATTACTGATTACCCAATTAGTACTGACATTAGAGTATAGAGTCTGTGAACACCTAACGTATTACTACTTACTAAAATTATATTTTTTAGCATTTGTGTCAGTGTAAATAACTAACTTATCCAGCTAAAGATTCGTGATACCTAGTTAGGTTAAGTTAGGCTCTATACCGATAAAAAGTAACACTTACTTTGCGTAATGTACAGCAGTAGCAACTGCTATTCAAAATTAAATTGCGAACAGATTTACATACCTCAAACTATCTTTCATTGCTGCATGATATATCTACTTCGCCATTGTTTCATCAAATATTAATTCCATATGCACAAATTCATTTGCAATCTAACATAACCTATGGGTCTCACTGCCCTATTGCTAGCAATACACCCTATCAGGTCGACCTCTAAGCGGTTTCCCTAGAAACCATCGTGGCTACTTCTAATGGAATTCGTGACTATGGGTTAACTGACCTGCTTTCATCCTTACCGATCATCTCTTACTGGTGCCCTGCCAGCGTATACCGATAGCGTAGGCAGGGTTACCATTATCACCCATTAAAAGAAAACATAACCTATTTGGGGGGAGCGATAGTGAGTAATGTGGAATACCAGTCCCAATGCCAACAATATACCCTATCATTTAGATCTCTCCGTGGTCTCTCTGGAAATCGTATCGTGCCAAAATTCAAGTGTATTCATCACGATAGACTAACTAACCCCTTCCTTTCTCGTGGGTGTCGTAAAAGTCGACTAAGGGACGGCGAGGGATGGGCAGCAGCGTCCCTTTGAAAACATCACTAAAGCCTGACTGCAGTTGTCAAACCGCCTGCCAAACGTGGCAACTACTGGCAAAAGCCCCCAAGGGGAGGCTCATGTTCAGCAGTGGACGGTTAAGGACTCATATGATATGACGATGATGATGTTAATAGAAGATATAAATACAAAGATAGTTTTACATTTGAAATTATTACTAACCTCGGGAGTAAATATTTCTGACATCAATACATAAGGGACCGTGCCAGCTCCACACATGAAGAAGAAACAGTACAATAGTATAATGACCACCGTCACCCACGGAGCACCCAGACTCTTCTGCGTCTGCACGCCGAGCATGACCATGGATATCGCTACCAAGCCCGATGAGTTGATCACCAGAACCTGTGAAGGTGGAGAAGTAAATAAATAACCGTCAAGATATCATACTACGTCATTTAGTTTAAAACTTTTTTTATACTATTTTGGTGGCAAACAGGAATATTGCACATGCGTTTCCAACCTTTAAGAGACCTTAATACACCCTTTTTGAAGAACCCAATGCTTTAAAGAAAACTTTGGCAGGAAGATTATTCTACAACCGCGGATTGCTCTCGGAGTTTTCACGGGAGGAAGCTTCTCTGAAACCGCACTGTGCGTGCAATGGCGAGCGGTGTGATATTGAAAGCTAGTCGTAGGCATCATATCGAAAAGTTCTTCAAAGTACAATCCGTTATACAGGCGGTAGAAAATGTAAAGACTCGATACCGCCTGTTAACCTGGGATCGGCCTCGGACCAAATTAAAAGGACTAAGCTGATGTCCAGGAGCTCCCGCCCATAAGTGAGAACAGTACTCCATATAAAGTAAGTATACTTTAGCCACTACTCGGCTCATAAACATACTTTTAGTACTGAAGAACGAATATATTAAAAAATTTTCATTGTTCTTCTCAAAAAAAGATACAACTACATAACAATATACACATAAAAAATCAGAATTGAATATGCATTAATAAATAGGAAAGTACGAGCAATATTTCTTATTGTTGTCAAAAGTTTTCCCAAGAGACTACAGCATGGGGTTCTTCAAAAGGGGGGTATAGAGGTTTCTTCAGGGTCAGCAACGCGCGCGTAATACCTCTGGAATTGCAGATGTTCATAGGCTACGGTAACCACTTAATATCAGGTGGGGCGTATGCTTGTTTGCCACCTCAGCGGTATAAAAAAAAGCTTTTCCAGAGATTTTTTTACAAATTCAATGTTATTAACCTGTTATTAATTTAAGATTATACTCCGCAAATAGAACAATATTTATATAATAATTTTAATCATAAATTTATTTTATATTATTATTATTATCAGCCATTAACTGTCCATTGCTGAACATAAGCCTTCCCCATAAGGGGAGTTTTGCCAGTAGTTTCCGGGCTTGGCAGGTGAGTTGCCAACCGCAGTCAGGTTTTTACAGATGTTTTAAGAGGGACGCTGTTGCCCATCCCTCCACCATAAGTTCCCTTAGTCGCTTCTTACGAGACCCATACGAAAGGAAGAGGTGACCCATTCTATACCAGGACACGGCGATAATCTATATCTATATTTATAATAAATCTGTAGAGAGGTCAATTCTATACATGAAATATATTTCCAAAATAACTATCAAGGGGTGATTAGTGATCGATAATGATGCCAAAAATGCAATCAGTAAATTTTTTGTTTTTCTGTCTGTATGTTCGTTATATAAATAAAAACTATTCGACGGATTTTAACAAAACTTGATACAATTATTCTTCATACTCCTGGGCAGGTTATAGTATACTTTTCATCACGCTACGATCAATAGATGCAGAGCAGTGCAGAGAAATGTTGGAAAAACGGGAGAAGTTACTCCATTTTTAAGCTACTTTTGAAAATGTAAAAATGTCCACCCGTGCGAAGCCGCGACGGGCCGCTAGTCAATAATATAAAAGAATAAACTCACCCTTCGTCCAGCTTTATCAGATATGAATGCAGTAACAAAACATCCGAATATCAACATTAAAGCAAATATAACTGAAAAAAGATCCGCTTTGCTTGGATCTGCTTCGTTGAACACCTTCTTGGCGAACACTTGTACTGGTACTAGACCCATGAAGACCTTAAATGAATAACGGAGAAGATAAATAGAAGAACAGAATGAAATGCAGTGTGGAAATGCAGCAAGTATCCTAGGCACCCTACCAGCTGGCAGTGATTTCAAAGAAATTTTTTATCTTTAAATATATATATATATATATATATATATATATATATATATATATATATATATATATATATATATATATATCTCTTCTATACTTAATAGAAGATAATTTACACAAACTAGATAAAATTGAACAGAAGATGAAATTAAAAATTATATGTGAAAATGTTTGAGGTATACAAGATGTAAATAGCATTATTGTAGGAAACCAATAAATTATTAATCAATTAAAATGTACCTGTAATGTTATTATAGTCAACAAAGTAAAAAAAGCTCGGCGTGATGACGGCGATGCAACTAAAACCAATAAAATAAATTACAGAATATAGAAATGACTATTTGCATAATTAGATTTAATCTATATCTAAGATATCAAAGAATGCATTAGCCTAGTATTATAACTACAGTAATACAACCAAAACCCAATAACATTGCCAATGAAATTGAACAATTTGTCCCAAAAATCGAACAATCGAAATTTGAAAATAATTTTTCTAGATTGACCCCATGACACGATATTGAAATTTTGAATTTCTTCCATGTAGAAAGTTGTTCAGTTTTTGAATCATTGGGTTTCGAAGCTCTCTTTGTGTTCTCTTTACAGCTAACCTTGTTGTTCCTACTGTTTTGTATTCGAAATTATTTACTTAGTATTAATGTTTTATCTACAGTATTATTGTCAATGCAAAAATCAACAATCTTGTCTATTGTAACAAAGATTATCAATAATATTACAAGGTGATGTTTATAATTAAACTGTAACAATAAAATTTGATATAATAAAAAACGTATAGCAGACAGTAGATGCTTGTATCAATGGTCATGCACAAATTAAAATCAACATTGTTAAACTCCCATTCAATCTGATAGATAAAGTCTCCAGAAAATTAAAAACAATTAAAGCTAAACGAAATAAAAGGAAATCCAAATAAACACCTTAGCATTCAGACAATAGATTTGATATACATTTCTAATGAAAATTACTTTTTTAAAGATTAGAATAATATTTATATAAAACAGGTGGAAAGGTGCTCAACTGAGCAATTAATTGAAATCAATTAGTAACATACTCACATAATGATCTCCAAGACGATTGTTTTTGTTGTATTTCAGGTATGACGCTATCAGAGTTTAACTTCTCCTTCTCTGCTTCCTCGGTCTTTGATAAAGAATCTAAATCAAGAAGAACATCAAACAGTTGTAAAAAATCTTAGGTGACAAATTTCAATTATGTTATATTTATATTATCTTCAATTGCATGCAGTATACCAAATTCAGTAATTAACTAGTTTATACACGTGACTTCGTTTGGGTAACCAGGATAAAAAGTAACCTATATCTATCCCAAATTGTACATGAATGCCAAAGTTAGAGACGATTATTTAAACCGTTAAAGTACTAAGACATAAAAATAATTTCATTTTGACCTTTTTATTATTAATTTTTATTATCATTAATTCAAACTAATTGTATATCATCATCATCATCATATCAGCCTTTAACCGTCCACTGCTGTGCATAAACCTCCCTCTTGGAGAGTTTGCCAGTGGTTGCCACGCTTAGCAGACGGATTGGCAACCGCAGTCAGCTTTTAGAGATGTTTTAAAAAGGGCGCTGCTGCCCATCCCTCGCCCTCCCTTAGTCGGCTCTTACGACACCCACAGGATAGAAAGAAGTGGCCTATTCTATGCCGGGACCACACGGGACACAATTGTTTACATATAATTAAGCAAAAATATTGTATAAATACATATAATATAAATATCTACTAATATATATGTATATTTATTATATATATTATTATCAACCATTAAAATTTCACTGTTAAACTGCTAAATGATTTTGGGTTCTGTAAATCTATCGATTTGTTATAACACCTTTAAAGTCATCGCTAAGATTAGTATTATCTGTTTATTTTTATAGCAAATCCTTATGGAGACATACAGCACTCTGTAACTGATAGAAAGCTGAATAAACCTTATCAGTATTATAAATGTGAAAAATGACTTGGTTTGTTCATTAACATTTGGTGTCTTAACGGCTAATCACTAATCATCAAAATATTTGGTATACGTGTACTATTTTTTTTTTGATGAGTGAAAATGGTACGGTAACCCCGCCTGCGCTATCGGGATACGCTGGCGGAGCACCAGTGAAGGGTGATAGATGAGAATGAAAACAGGTCAGTTAGCCCATCATGATGAGTTCATCATGGAATTGACCATGATAGTTTCCAGAGGGAACCGCGAGGATGTCGACCTAGTTGGGTATATTGCTAGCAATGGGATTCTCAGTCTCCATTACTAACAATCCCTTTCCCCCCTACGTGTACTATTTGGGACGAAGAAAAACATAGATTACTTACAATTTCAGTCAATCAATATATCACAGTTACAAAGTAGAAGTTGCATATAGAATAATACATTATAATAAACAATTTTATATATTACCTTCATTAATAGATATCAACTCAACAATTGGCGTTAAGCGTAATTTCAATTTAGATAACTCTTTCAACACAACCGTGGATGAGGGGGATGAACCTTTGTAATGGGCTATCGCATTTGTCGTGTCCTATAAAAAAAATTAAATATAATAATTATAATAAAATACATCAATCTACTACTATAAACTATGTAAACAGAAAGGACACAGTAACCTTAAATTTTTTTTATACCACAAAAGTGGCAAACTTGCATACAGCCCGTCTTATGGTAAACGGTCACTGTAGCCTATGGACGCCTGCAACACTAGGGGTGTCACGTGCGCATTGCCGACCCTGAAGAAATCTTAATATACCTTTTTCGAAGATACTGTAGTCTCTACTGAAAACCACGGCATGGAGTTCATCCCACAGCCTGAACGTTCGTAGGAGAAAATTTCTCTGAAATTGCACTGTACGTGACCATTTAGGCTCAAGCGTATGAAGATGAATTCCCTGTCGATGGCGAGCGGTGCTCTACTATAGCTATGACTAATATTTTTACTCAAATATCATAAATACTTGACCCGGATTTTCACATATTTGGTGAAAAAAAAAAAACAGCATTAAACTATGTTATACAGTTTAAGTACAATTGAATAATGAATTTAATCATTATCATAGCTTACTATAATTTACAAAACATAAAACTTACCTCTTCTCTGTTTTGTCTTAGTAAAAATATGGGACTCTCTTTCACAGACATAACTAGAAGGCAGCAGATTACAGCGACCAGTAAATTAATCCAAATCGTCACTGAGTAAGTGGAATACCATCCCAGAAGATAGGAGAAGAATACTCCTATTCCATAAAACAGATTTGGAACTGTAAGAGAAAGTATAAATATAATCAAGACTCATAGTAACATGTTCTACATTAAGATTTAGCGGATCATTATGACTTTCTTCCGCCATTCTGATATAAATTGTGTCTTTTAGAGCAAATATATTTTCAAATAACAACACAAATATAAAGAAATATAAAATATATCTAAGGAGTTAATCAATATTCTTTTTCTATTCTTTTAATTTGTGAAAAAGAGTATAACGCAATGCTTTAAAGCATTTTTCAATTACACAAGTTTCTTTTTGAATAATTTTATATTATTCGTGCGTTGTTCTTCCATTACTTTCCTCTAGTTCCTCTTTTTTAGTTCATATACTATTTTTCTTGTTATTTTAACTAAACTTAAGAAAAGTAAATTAGAATATTTCAACAGAAAAACCCCAGCAAAACATATTATCAAATTTCGATGAAATATTGAGGACACGTTGACTAATTAAGTATAAAGATAAGATAATTCAGGACATTACGAAGTAAATATAGTTGTAATTACATGTTGCTAGTAATCCTCTAATAGAGTCATCAGCTACTTCCGATATAAATACAGGTCCATAAATCAAATATGCTCCACCTGCTATGCCTCCTAGTAATCTTGCCGCAAGAATTAGGAGAGATGAAGACGATACATAAATTATAGCCCAAGACAGCTGCAATAAATAAATAATTTCGATACATAAATGTTGCAAAATATTCAATTAAAATATTAAAGTATTTGGCAAGAAAATAAATGTTATTATCAAAAGAACCTAGAATATAGATAAAAAGCCAGATTTTAAAGTATGAAACTTATAATTCGAAGTTCAGATCGTGAACCCTGAAGTCCAAATCCCGAACTCTGGACGCAGTACATTGGACTCGGATTTCAATCTTCAGAGTCTAATACTGGAACTCAGAACCATAGATTTGAACAAGACATGTTTATATTAGGGCTAATCTACAAAGATTAGACTATAGACTCCAGTCTATAAATCTTAAACATTAAACTTTAAACACTGAATTAGTATTATATATTATACTTAGTTTAGAAACTATTTCATTACAAAACGAGATAAATCGATTCTACGCTATTCATTATAAGTAATTATCGATATTTTAGTTGTCTGATGAAAACAAAGACAGCTTTATAATTCAACATACTTACCACAAAAGGAATCGTAATTGAAAGACCCCCTAATCTTCTACCAAATTTGTCAATTAATACACCTGTTACTGCAGTTCCTATCATTCCTCCCAAAGATGGAAGGCTACCCAATAATGCTACCTCCGAATCTGTCATGGGTTTTGCCAGATATACTGTGTCGTTAGCAGTGTAAAGATACTGCGTGTACGATGGCCAGACGTTAAGTAAGCCCATCGATGCAGAACCAAAAGAAGCTGAAATAAAATATTATAATATTTTAGCAAGTGACAATGACTATCGTCATCATATCATCCTTTAGTTGACCACTGATGAACATAAGTCTCTTTCTTGGGGGGTTTGCCAATAGTTCCCCGCTTGGCAGGTGGATTGGTAACCGCAATTAGGCTTTGGTGACGTTTTAAAAGGAACACTGCTGCTCAACCCTCGCCCTCCCTTAGTCGCCTCTTACGACACCCATGGTTGGACCACACAGCGACAATGACTATTATTTGATCAAAATTTATCCATTTTAGCTTTTAAGCTGTAGTACAAGCATTATGTTTGGTTCTCATAATGAGAAAGTTACAATAATAGAAAAATTACAAGAATTTAGTCATGAAAAGTGATCCCTATATAGGTGTATCGGATGTCATGAAATAGAATAGACGCTTAAACCACATTTGGATAATGTAGCATATAATACAACTGTAGTACAGTTGTATTATGGAGACCATATTAAAGAAAAGAAAGTTATTGAAAAAGGTCTCAAATAACCAGTAAAAAAAAAAGTTAAAAAGATTATAATTAAATTTTTAAAATAGATAATTTTGTATGTAGTAGTTTTGTGTAATTTTATAGATATAATACCTTACCTGCAATTGCTGTGAAAGTCTGAAACCATACTCCCGACACCATTTTGTATTTTTTACGTAAATACAAATTTGAATCTAAAATGTCCTTTTTTAACAACTACTAAAGATATACTGCGCGATTGTTACTATAATTATGAATGTCAACATAATGATATTAAGATATTAATATAATTAAACAAAGATTATGCACAGTTCAAATAACTTTAGATGTTGATAACACATTTTGTGCAAATTTTAATAGTAATTTTTCATTATTCTTTCACCGTACAGGCTAAGTAACTATAGGTGAGATAAATATTTCGAATTTCAACTCTTGCAATTGACATAAAAGAGATATAGTATAAAACTTTATTACGCAGATTTGTTCATCCTTTGTAGGCGTAAGTAGATAGATAAACAATACTAAAGATTATGTTGATGTTGGAGATTATTGGCACATTATGGAGTTTGTAATTAATGTTTATAAGTTAAACTTCTACATAAAATCTGTAAGAAGTAGTACAAGTGTTTTTATGATATAAATATAATCATTAAAGATTATATCATAGAAATACGTGAGACGCTCAGAAAGTTTTACGACACAAACAAAAATGTTCTATAGGTAAATATATTTTTTTTACATCTTTTCAAAATACTCTCCACCAGCCTCTATACAAAGTTTTATGCGTTTAAACCAGTTTTTGAAACACTTTTTCCAGTCCGCCACGGACACCTCGTTTACAGCCTGCTCGAACGCTGAGAGCGTATCATCCGGCGATGAAAATGGTATCCCTTCGAGCTGGTTTTTTTTATTTTTGGGAATACGAAGAAGTCACACGGTGCTAGGTCAGGGTTGTAAGGAGGGTAACCCATGAATTTGACCGGAGTGCTGTCTAGGAAGTCCCTCGTGTGGGCGGGCGCATTATCGTGGTGGAGCAGTAGCCTGCGGAGCCCTGTGTTTGGTCGCTTGTTGCTCACAACAGAGAAAACTTCTGCCAAGCATTTGATAGTATACTATTCGGCGTTAATCTTATTTGGTTTCGTAAAGGAATTGACACCAAGTAGCCAATCAAATTGAAAAATCTCGCGATCAAAATCTTCTCTCCGCTTCTAGGTCGCTTTACTTTGGTAGGCATTGATTCGTTTTAAAACACCCAAACCGTCGACTGGCGCTTTGTTTCTGAATCGTATTGATAAATCCAGAATTCATCACCTGTAACGATGTCGTAAACACGCCGAGACGAGCCTGCTTCAAATTTGTCTATCATATCATGGCACCATTCCACCCTTGCCTGCTTCTGAACATCGGTGAGGTCGTGCACCCAGCGTGAAGCTATCCTCCGCACCCATAGATGCATGTGTAGAATCGTGAAAACTTCCTGATCCAATCTGCAGTATATGCTGAATCTCTTGGTATGTGACTCGTCTGTTGTCTTGGATCAAAATTTTCACTGCTAGCACGTTTTCTTTCGTAACAGCCGTCAAAGGGCGACCACCTCTTTCTTCATCCTCCAAAGTTAGTCGACCGCGCTTAAATTCTTTATACTAACGATACACGGTTGCCTTAGAAAGGCCTTCATCTATGAATGCCATTTGAAGTCTATCGTACGATACGTCCGATTTCAGGTGTTACTTAAAATTGTAAAAAAAATCATAGCGTGAAAATGTTCTCGACGCAAATCCATTTTTCAATGAGACATGGTAATTTTTTTAAGTTTTGAATTTAGAATGTACCTATTTCTTAGTAGAAATAGGTACGTTCTATCATAGTAATCATAGTTTTAAATAAATTATAACTGGCCAGTCTCACATACATAAAAACTTTTTCTCGCAATACTTTCTGAGTGACCTGGTATAAGATAAATATACCATCCAAAAATGTCTTGGGCGTTCTTTAAGTTTTTTCAATCGCCGTGTTCTAATTTTGTTTTTTATGCAACTTACAATGGCAAATAAACTGATGGCCCACCTGATGGAAATTGGTAGCAATACCGTGGATATAACAGAGTATACTATTTCGCCAACGATACCTCCCATGCATTGCCATTCCTGAGGACTCAGGTATTATTCCTCTGTACCCTGTAAATTCACTGCCATATCCCACCCTTCAAATCAGAACACAGCCATGTAAACACAACTACTTCACGATACAAGTAGAAACACGGATGGGGTAGAAGTGACCAAGAAAACGACTTTTGTACAAAGTCTCCCTTCTGTCAGTCTGTTTTATTTTATTTCATTATAGTTAATAGTTAGCCTTACCAACAATAAAATTGTAGCAATGTGATACATTTTCTCATTGTAATAATTTCTTGTAATTGTTTGTATCTATAATAAGTTTACTACTGTAATCTTTCGGAGGAATCAGTAAAGGTTATCTATTTGTATATGGGAGGCATTTAAGATAAATTGTTACGAGAGGTCTTAATAAGGTTTTCACAGATATTACTCGTATTCTGAAGACTTAATTTAAAAACTGGTGTATGTTTTATCTTGATCTATCATATAAAAGTGGTATATACCATTTGTTTGAAGTAGTGGACAAAAAGCCAATTAATTAATGTATTATTATAATCATCCTGATGTTTGAACAATTGTCTTAGCTTATAGATAATTAGAACTAATATCAAATGTACCTTTACTGATCTCGAATAAGCCATTCCACGCCCCTTTTTAATCTTTTCTGTGATACGTTGTTCTTATCTACGAACCTCCAGTCACAATTATGACGTCAATATAACTAATTATAAATATCACATAAATCTATGATAACAGTATTAATCAAACAACAATTTTACCTATTGTTTAATGCAATATATAATATTCTCATCTTTAAGATATCATTATATAAATAACAATTATAAATTTAGCACACAATCTATTGTAATGTTTGTTAAAAAAGTTCAATACTCATACTGTCTTCACACATTCATATAACAATTTCTTTAATAAATAATTCTGTTTTGTTTGTATCAAAATCTACAACATGCTGTTTGAACAATTAAATATTTAAGGTATCTTCTCAAATAGTTTCTAATTTCAGAATGTCTGTCACATTAATTTTATCAAATTGTAATGTCATGAACACTTTAGATAATTTATTATCGTTATCAATTACATTTTACTAATATTTAGTTATGTTTTGTAAATCTTTTCATATTGTCATGATTGTGTCAAAAACGTTACATTTGTACTTCGTTGTTTGAATATGACAAACAGTGTTATGTTTTCCATTGATTTATTATTATTACTTTAAACGTACGTCTATTTTTTTCACGGAAATTTGTTAAAAGATCATAATTTGTGCAGTGTATAAAATACTTTTTAGTAAACTGGACAGTTATAAACATTTACAAACTTAGTGGCCTAAACTCAGGGAATTAAAAGAAAGAATTCTGAAACCTTTGGTGATTGCAGTAACGAATAGATATAATATAACTAATACTATAATATAACGAATAGATAAGATATAACTAATGATAAATTATCAAACACTAATAGCAATCTATGATGACAATAAACGATGGATTTGAAATATTGCTATTATAAAAATGCAGGCGTTTTTTACAAGCTTTCATTTCACATTCACGTATGTACATACCTACTTACGTGTACAATATTAAAATGCAATTTAATCATAATTTTGAATGTAAATTATTTTTGTATTACAGTAAAACAAATAAATGTTAGTTAGTAATATAATTACTGAAAATAATTTTAAACATAATAAAAACATTCCTAAAGCATAAACTAGTTATATCTTGCATTTAGATAACATTTAAAAATATTTAAACATTATCTCATAATGCCTAATAAAAAAGGTTTTAATTACTTTTCAAAAATAATAACTGTATAGCATCAACTGACAATCCTTTAGTTTCTGGAATACAGAAGTGACTATACACAGCACCAAAGAAACATATAACTGCAAATCCGCAAAATATAGGACCAAGTCCTAAACTGCTTACTAATGGATTGAAGATTATGAGAGTAATGAAATTCATTATCCACATAGCGGCTAAGACAAGGCTGTTGCAAAGACCACGGACCTGAAATGTTCAATACGCAATATTATTTTTTTTTTATACAACTTAGTATGGCAAACAAGCTGACAGCCCACCTGATGTAAAGTAGTAACCGTCGCCTATAGACATGAGTAGTATCATGGACATAACAGAGTATACTGTTTCGCCCATGATTAATTTCTCGAGAAATTAAAGTTAAAAAGTAAGCATTTCATTTTAATTTGCATAAAACAAAAACAAAATAAATGTAGCTGTTACATATTTTCGTTTTCCAATATAATTTAAAGTTATAATTCTGATTTATAATTAAGACTATGTTCAAAAAAAATAATCGACTTCAATTGGCATAATATAACTTAAAATGGCAAACAACCTGACGGCCCACCTGATGGAAAGCCGTCGCCTATAGACATGAGCAGTACCATGGACATAACAGAGTATATTGTTTTACCCATGACACCCCCCTTGCGTTGCCATTCCTGAGGACTCAGATGTTATTCCTCTGTACCCTGTAAATTCACGCCATATCCCACCATTCAAACCAAAACACAGCCATATATTGCTTCACGATAAAAACACGAATGAGCCAGAGCTACCCAAACAAACAAATTTTGTACAGTCTCCCTCTGGTAATATAAAACACAATAGGATTCTTAAAATTAAAAAACTTACTTCTGGCAGAAACACTTCGGCAGGTAATACAAACGGTACAACGGCTGCTCCCAAGTTATATACAAAACAATATAAATATATAAGTACCACCGTACACCATAAAGGTGCCCAGTGGAACCACAGCTGCGTTCCCAGAAGCAAAGCGCAAACACCTGATGCAACTGATGAGGAGGTCAACAAAGTCTGTCAAACATAGATTAATAGATACTTTTTATTGTTTCCTCTATAAGATTACAATAGTAAACTTATTATAAATACAAACAAATACAAGAAAATATTACACTGAGAAAACAATGGACGGCCTTATCGCTAAGACCGATCTCTTCCAGGCAACCTTTGGATGGAGAAGAGTTATAAACAGTTTGGCTGGAGGCATGACACGCTGTTCGTTTTACATACATACAACATACACCGGATTTAGAAATTTAAACAATATGATTAAAACAAAAATCATATAAAATATTACAGGCATTAAACTATAACTTTAATTAAGTCACTGAAGACCTAAGGAATCGAGACATGGTTCTACACGATAGCTTGTATGCAAAAGCTTCGAATTACTTAGCGAGCTATGAAGACAAATATGCTCGGAATTTCTCTACGTGACAAAATCCGAAATGAAGAAATCTGCAACAATACTAAAGTATATAGCCCGATGGATAATCAAGCTGAAGTGGCTATGGACCGGTCATATAGCTCAAAGAATCGACTATCGATGGGAAATAAATGGTCTTGAGTGACGATTCCGTATATGCAAATGTGGTGTGCGTTGTAGGGAGTCAGTGGATGTATGTGGCTTAGGACCGTTCCATATAGCAGTCTATGAGGAAACCCTAGTTTTAACAGTAGAACAATAGCTTATATGATGACAATTATTATTATTTTAATACCACTAAAAATCTAAGGAATAACATTTTTTTCTAATCTCTTTATAAATGACTCTTTGGCCCTTATCAAAATTAATTAAATAAACATTTTTTTTATTGTACACAAAAGGTTATTAAAATGTAAAAACAAACATAATAGTGCACAAAGGTGAGCTTATCTCCAATAGAGATTTCTTCCAGCAAACCCAATATGAGAAAATTTTAAATAGTGTATCAAGATAAAACATACACCAGACTTTAGGTTAGATCTTTAGAAGCAAAAGTTTAGAAACCGCATTCAATTTATTAGTGTTTGCATGACACCAGAACAAACCTACAGATAGACAGAGAAAATTTATAAAAAATATTGTTTTGACTACTTTATGAGATCTCTGATATTTTTTTTTTTTATTAAATCTCTCCAGATATATACAGACAACATCTACATAGTTACAGTTTTATTATATTAGTAAAAAAACATTATTACTTGACCTATCATATATCAGGATCTGATTGATGATCGGAAAAATATATATAATGTGTAAAAACAAAACAAATGTAAAAACTAAATACAAAATAAACTATACCTTACGTCCCAGCCTGTCAAGCATTAAAGCACATATCAGACTTCCCACCAATAAATCTGAGGCGAGAAGAATGGAACACAAATTCGATTCCAGCGACGGTAATGCCTCCTTGAAAAGTGGTTCAGCATACACTTGAATTACAATTGTTCCCATCAATATTGTGGCAGACATGATGACCAGGCATGATACGAGAGCACGTTTAGATGATGACGATTTGCCTATAAAGTTAATATTATCCAAAAATATAAGAATACATTATCTGTTTACATGCATAACGGAAATTTTATGAACTATCGTTGTTTCCAACAATTGTTTCGACGTCACCTGGAAAACTTCTTTCTGCAGTGCGAGATGTAACGTTCTGATGGAAAGTGGCATACGCCTCCCAAAGAAGACTTCTGGATGGAGTCGAAACAATTATTGAAAATGACAAACACAGTAACTTCATGAAATTAGCACCGTTCATATATATCGACATCGTTAAAAAATTTACGTAAATTTAAAAATAATAATGTAAGTAGAAAAATAATGAATAAATTTTTAAAACATAAAGCAATATTTCAAGCAAGAGAACCAAATTTACCAGAGGGAGACTTTGTACAAAAGTCATTTGCTTGGGCACCTTTGTCCTATTCGTGTTTCTATCGTGAAGCAGTTGTGTTTGCATGGCTGTGTTTCGGTTTGAAGGGTGGGATATGGCAGTGAATTTACAGGATGCAGAGAAATAACACCTGAGTCCTCAGGAATGGCAACGCATGGGGAGTATCATGGGCGAAACAGTATACTCTGTTAAGTCCATGGTACTGCTCATGTCTAAAGCAACGGTTACCACTTTCCATCAGGTGGGCCGTTAGCTTGTTTGTAATTTTAAATTGTTTAAAAAAAAGCAATCGCAAGCAGTTGCTATAAACTACAAATGCATATAGACCATTTATCAAAGACAATTTACTCGTAATACAATTTACTCAAGAAAAGGGACCAAATACTTTATGAAAAAAAACTTTTATTTTGTTTTCTAAATAACAAACTGTCTCTTATGCTAAATCTAATATAATAATAGTGATAAAACTAATATAAGAATTAAAAGTGACTCACAAAGAAACTTGATAAAACTAATATCAGAATTAAAAGTGACTTCACAAAGAAACTTGATAAAACTAATATCAGAATTAAAAGTGACTTACAAAGAAATTTCCATTCTGATTCATTATTTAATTCTTCATCCTTAGTTCTGTTATCAAGTAATGTCTCGGCAGCTTTAATATCTGTAACCAAATAAAGTGCCAATTTAATAATGCAAGTAACAAGTACAGAATGTGCATATTTTTTTACTATTATAATAAAATCGTAACTGATATCATGTACATGAAAGATATTTAAGATGATTTGTTTTAAAGATCGATAAAAGAAATTTGATATTTCTATATATATTTTTTTTTGTGATACAGTAGGCAACACTAGTGCAAAAACTACAGCAGCAAATTGGATATGGTTTCTATAGCTATGTTCCTAAAGGTATCATCATTATTTCAGCCGTTAACTGTCCACTACTGAACATAAGCATATAATATTTTATTTAAATTAATAATACACATTAAGCTAATTAATAGGTAATCATCTTTTTATTGATTTTTAGAGAGTTTTTTTGTTTTTGTTACATCTTTCTATTTTTAAGTCGTTTTAATTAAAAAAAAAAAAAACAGTTTGTTTATTATTAATTTTGTACCTTTCGTCTGTAGGATCTTTTCTATTCTCGGATCCAGCTGCAGTTTAATTTTTTTATCTCCATTTCAACTTCTTTAGATGTCACACTAACTTGTCTATAGAAAGCTATTGATTTCGCTGCATCCTGAAAGACATTTATAAATAAATACATATATAAATACAATAAATGAATAATTAAACTTTAATACACCTAGATAGTGTAAATAGCGGACTTAACACCGTATAATGTTTTTTTTTAATGAATGATAATGAAATGGTAACCCCGCCTGCGCTAACGGTATACGCTGGTGGGGCACCAGTGAGGGGTGACAGATGAGGATGAAAAGGCTGGTCAGTTAGCCCATCGCGATGAATTCATACACTTGGAATTCAGCACGATGGTTTCCAGGGGGACCACGGGGAGGTCGACCTGTAAGGGTATATTGCCAGCAATGGGACTACCGTATAGTGTTATCTGCCTATAACAGAAAATGCAAAAATGAAATTATATGCTAATAAAAAAAATCGTAATTGACATGTAACGGCTGATATGATGATGATGTATCATGATCCTAATGATATAGATTACTAGCTTTTACCCGTGACTTCGTCCGCGTAACCGGGATACGTTCACTGACCGGGATAAAAGTAGCCTACTGTTACTCTTAAAAAATTTTAGTGATTAGATTTACGAGCTTTTTTTAATAAACTTATATATTAGTTAGTTCATTTACATCAAGCCTTGCAAGCTAGATTTGAACCAGTTTATTTTAACTGATTTTGCTAACCTACTTCTGACGACAATATAATACGTTATAGTCAGTATTGTAATATTTACAAAATGGCTACCGCCACAAAATGGCGGATGGTATATTTTGTCTATCCTATCCTTTATATGGATATTAAATGAAAGAACTTGATAAGTATGTAGATCAAAATGGTTTTAAGCTGAATTATTCTGATTTTCTAATTTTTTTTTATTTTATTTCAATAGGTACACATTACAGAGAATTAATATGGTTACATTAATTTATACAGTACAATAATGTTTTGTTCAAGCTAACCCTCCAAAAAATATATATATATATATATATATATATATATATATATATATATATATATATATATATATATATATATATATTCTTACTTTAATTTTATAAATTTTATTAACAGTTCTTATCATGACGAGTAAATGCAATTGTTTATTACTTTACTTATTTTATAATATTGTACGTTTGTTTGCGTTTTAATTATAGACATATTATGATGTTTGTGAAGCAGGTTGATAACTGATAATATATTTAATCCACGCACGATCACATGTTGGTTTTTAAACGATTTAGAAATAATTAAATTATGGCAAAACCATGTTTTTTAAGTTAAAAAACTAATCTACTGAAGGGATTTTGATTAAATTTCTATGGGATCAATCTGTAAGTAATAACTTTGATGAAATTGTTATTGTCATTTTATCTCATATTTATATAATTATATACAGAACCCTCGGCGTGTGAGTTCAACTCGCACTTGGCTTATTTTATTTTTTTCATTATATAATATACCTAAAAAATTGACATTTCTCAAATATTTGAAAACAAACGACAAAACCTCATCGGGATCATAGTTATGAGAATTTATGTGCTTTTTTATACAACTTAGAATGACAAACAAGCTGACGGTCCACCTGATGGCAAGTGGTAACTGTCGCCTATAGACATGAGCAGTGCCATGGACATAACAGAGTAAACAGTTTCGCCCACGATACCCCCCATGCGTTGACATTCCTAAAAACTCAGGTGTTATTCCTCTGTAACCCTATAAATACGCTGCCATATGCCCCCCTTCAAACCGAAACACAGCCATGCAAACACAACTGCTTCACGGTAGAAACACGAATGGGACAAAGGTGCCCAAGTAGACTTTTGTACAGTCTCCCTCCGGTAAATATGTACGAGTACACAGAATAAAAAATATTTATAAACTATTTTTTTAGGATTCAACCTTACTTATATTACAGAATACTTGTAATTATTTACAACTAGCGTCATCAATTCATCCCAGCTGCGCACGAGTAGATAGGGGTTTGGAAAATAATACATAGCCTATATTACTCATTGATAATGTAGCTTTCTACAGGTGAAGGAATTTGTAAAATCAATTGAGAAGATTTTGAGTTTATCCGTTACAAACCATTTATAGATTGATATGTACTTTAGTACATTACTGCAGCGGCCAGCAACTGAGGCATTGATGGACGAACGTGCAAATGTGTAGAAAGCTACATTATCAGTGAGTAATATAGGCTATATATTATTTTCGAAACCCATATCTACTCGTGCGCAGCTGGGCTGAATCGCTAGTTATAAATAATTACAAATGTTCTGTAATATGAGTAAGGTGGGATCCTAAAAAAAGAATTTTACAAGCAAATACGTGAGTCCATCAATTCCTAGTTATGACCAAGGCTTTTATAGTACTTTTCTCAAACAATGCGCGGAAATTAAAAATACAGTTTTGCTTTTTAAGTTCAATGACGAATAACGAAAAATAATAATCTTTCACGCGCCATAACGTTCCTTTTGTAGCCATGTTTTTCATTCCATTTTTAAATTAAGGACAGATATGAGTTTACATAGTAATTTATCTTTTTGGATTTTAATACAATTTTTGCCGGCCGCTGCCCGCATGTATCTGACCAGTACGGCCATTTTGATTTATCTTGAAGAAGATTGTCAAAATAATGCTCACATTTCCAAGCATATTTGAGAAAAATAATTATATATATAAATGTATTATCATTAATTTCAAAATGTATTAATATTGTTATTTATCAAAATATTTATTTCATTTACAAATTTATTTTGTTAGATCAATGCACCGCCGTTTACTCTCTCACTCTCTCTGTTTCGTTTAGTATTACGGTTGACTGGTAGAGATTGCATTAATGAGGCATTAAGTCCGCCCTATAGATATATTTTAATGTATATGTATGTATGTTCAAAAGTATAATTTTTTTTCTACCACTAAGGTGGCAATCAAGCATACGATTCGCCTTATGGTAAACGATCACCGCAGCCTATGAATGCCTGCAATACCACAGGTATTACACGCGCGTTGCCAAACCTAAGCCTCTTTACCCCCCCTTTTGAAGAACCCCATGCTGTAGTGTCTTGGGAAAACCTCGGCAGGGAGTTCATTCCATAACCTGAGTGTTAATCAATTAAGACATGTATGAAATATAGTTATGTAAAAAACAAATCTTACCTCAATTCTTCCCTTTTGTACCAGAAAAACAGGAGATTCCTTGAGAAGCATTAACATTAATATATAAAGGACAGATATGAACAGAAATGCGTGCACCACTTGATGGTATTTTAAATAACCACCCATTATATAAGATACCAGTAACCCAACAAAATATCCTGATGCTACAGTGGATGCGAGAGCACCCCTTATGGAATCTTGGCATATTTCGGATATATAAATAGCTGATATCGCTTGACCAGCTGCCCCCACGCCAGCAAATCCAACCGCTGCAAGTACCAGGGGCACATAAGTTGTGAAAGATATCACTGTCCATGCAATCTGAAAATATCAAACTGCATTTTTAATTAGCCCTTTGGATGCGGGAAAGGGGTTGTTAGTAATGGGATCTAACAGCCTCATTGCTAGCAATGTACTCTAAATTTGCTAGCAATGCAGCTATCGCTTGACCAGCTGCCCCCACGCCAGCAAATCCAACCGCTGCAAGTACCAGGGGCACAGGAGTTATGAAAGATATCACTGTCCATGCAATTTTTATGTTTGTTACCTCATAACTCCATTAGTTCTCAACTAATTTGGAAAATTATTTTTTTTATCTGAAAGGGTATATGTATAAAGGTATTCCTTATGACATAGGTCTGTGTTCAGCAATTGACGGTTATTATTATTATTTCAGCCATTAACTGTCCACTGCTGGACATAAGCCTTCCTCATTAGTGGAGTTTTGCCAGTAGTTGCCACGCTTGGCAGGCGGGCTGGCAACCGCAGTTGGGCTTTTAGAGATTTTTTAAGAGGGACGCTGCTGCCATCCTCGCCCTCCCTTAGTCGCCTTTTATGACACTGACGGGTAAGGAAGGGGTGGTCCATTCTATGCCGGGGCACACACAACGAAGTTGACGGTTAAAGACTGAGAAAATCAGTTTTGTAAACCAACCTGTAACTGTTACAGATTTTTTTTTATACAACTTAGAATGGCAAACAAGCTGACGCCCCACCTGATGGAAAGTGGTAACCGTCGCCTATAGACACGAGCTATACCATGGACATAACAGTACACATGCATACAGTTTCGCCCATGATACCCTCCATGCGTTGCCATTCCTGAGGACTCAGGTGTTATTCCTCTGTACTCAGTAAATTCACGCCATATCCCACCCTTCAAACCAAAACACAGCCATGCAAACACAACTGCTTCACAGTTGAAACACGAATGAGACAGAGGTACCCAAGCAATCGACTTTTGTACAAAGTCTCCCTTTAATTATTCTTTAATTATTTGGAAGTCTGTTAAAAGTTGCAACAATATACGCCAAAAAGAAACATAATTACCACAAATGGCAATCCAAAAAGCATAGCCGCATACTTCCTACCAATTGTGCTGAGTATGTATCCACAAAATGGCGTAATGACCAATGCTCCAATATTCGTCAAGCTTCCCAATAGAGACACCTCTGTTTGTGACATGGGTGTTGATAGAACTGTCTCGTTTGACATGAAGTTGGCTAACGTGAATGATGGCCATGCATATATGAATCCTGAGAGACTTGTCAAGAGAGAAACTGTAAAAGAAAAATACAATACAACAATTTAATTGTATAATAACAAGAAAGTTAATTTACTTAAAATTAATTTAGTTAATTTCATCGTAATCACAACAACCGTTAGCTGTCGACTGCTGAACATAGAGTGCTCCCAAAAGGGAGGTTTTGCAAGTAGTTGCCGCGCTTGGCAGGCGGGTTTGGCTATCGCTGCAATAATTTAACTGTATTGAATGACAACTAAGTTAATTTAGATGAAATTAGTTGAAAGAATTTTTATATATAAAGAATCACTACATAGTATAAAACAAAGTCGCTGTCGCTGTCTATCCGTCCCTATGTATGTTTAAATCTTTAAAACCACGCAACGGATTTTGAGGTGGTTTTTTTTAATAGATAAAGTGATTCAAGAGGAAGGTTTATATGTATAATATATGCATAATATTGTAAAGAAACACTTATAATTTTAGAAGTTTCTAATGTGATGTGATGTAATGTGTACCCGCGCGAAGGCGGGACGGGTCGCTAGTATTTAATAAAAGAATTACGAGTAAGTTTCGTTTCGTTAAATATTTTACTTAACAGGATTTACTTTATCCATTTTTAGCGATCCACCTCAGCTTCACATACCCGTGTGAAGACAAAAAGATAAATGAATTAATTTACTATTAATTTAATTAAAGATTATATAAAATTAATTTGTCTCTTTAATGAAATTATAATTAGCTGTCCACTGCTGAACATAAACCTCTCCCTTGGGAGAATTTTGTCAGTAGTTGCCAGAATTGGCAGGCGGATTGGCAACCGCAGTTAGGCTTCGGGAATATTTTAAGAGAAACGCTACTGCACATCGCTCGCCCTTCCTTAGTCGCCTCTTACGACATCAACGGTAAAGGAAGGGGTGCTCTAGTCAATGCTGGGCTTACACGATAATTTATTATACTAGTTTAAATTAAAATGACAACTAACTGGCTAATGTACTAACTCCTTGTACTAGCAGTGCCTTAACCGTCACAGTTTCACCACTCATTTTTTGCACTTATCACTTCGATCGTGAGAGCTCCCTCTCTATCACTAACTTGAAGCTAATCTATACTATCATTTTAACATTCGCAACTAATGTTTATCTTTATAACTTGATCCTACATCGCACACAGATTATTATAATGGATACATTATGTTAACAATTGTACAACAATTTAGCAGTGTGCCATTGGATTAACTTTTTATGACATATTTGACGAGCTTGGTTTTTTTAAATACCGAAGAAGGATTGGTATACTCCGCCTGCGATATCTGGTATACCCTATAATCGGTGAGAGGTGATCAGGTCAGGTAAGCAGGTCATTTAATTCAGCGCGATGTATTTCACAAGAATTAACCACGATGGTTTCGAGGGGAAACCGCGTGGAGATCGACCTGATAAGGGTATATTGCTAGCAATGGGACTGGTAGGCCGTATTACTAACAATCCCTTTCCCCACCCCCCTAGATTAACTATTACGACATAGTTGATGAATTTAATGAGTGAACATAAAATGGTAACGCCATCTGCGTTATCGGTATACACTGGCAGGGCACCGGTGAGAAATAATAGGGGAGAATAAAAGCAGGTCGGTAAGCCCATCGTAATGAATACACCTGGCACAATGGTTTCGAGAGGGGACCACGTGGAGGTCGATCTGACAAGGTATATTGCTAGCAATAGTCAAGTATAGCTTGAACTATGTATCCTAGATAACTGACAGAAATACTATTATTATAAATAACGCGAAAATTTAATAACGGTGTTTTTTTTTAGGAGCGGATGGATGGATGGAGGAAGGTTGACTAATTTTATTATCATACATTAAAAAAAGCTCTACTTAGTTTGTAACTAGATGGCGTGAGCGAACATCTTGACACGGGATTTTATACATATCCCTTTCAGACCCAAGATTTTTTTTTCTTTCAGATTAAAAATATTTTCGTGTTTTGGAGCCAAGCCATCTTGCCGGCACGCACGAGACTACTGCACCACCTAACCGCTAAAATGATTTCTTATTGGCTGGTTTAGAATCTCACTATCATGTTATTTCAGCTTCGTGCGTAAAAATGAATAGCGCGCGGTTTTAGAATTTTTTAAAGTTACAACTCACGCCCGTATCGTTCAGCTCTGAAAGGGATATACATATATTACGGTGTAAATAGTAAACAGTGTGTCGATACATTTGTTATTTTTATTTTATCCAAATATTTTCAAAGAACCGTGTCCCGATTTGGGCCATGGTGCGTCCATTGATGAATCGCATACTAACGGTTAGGGGTTCACGAGTACAGTCACGGTAAAATATATTAATTAGGCAATTCAATATTGATGACTTAATTGACATTTATATCTGTGATGATTCTTCATCAGGACTATCAAACCTTAAAAATATGTCTCCCATTTCTGTTGATGTAAGTTTTATTGGCTGTGTCAGGTGCCTTGTATACCCAAAATCCTAAATAATAGTTACTATGTGAGGGCAACAGCTTACAGTTCTAGTCCCATTTTTGCAGAACGTATTAAATCATCATTTCCAGTAACTTGGCCGCTCAAAGTTTAAATTTTGACCATTACCACCGTCATCACAAGGAAGTGCTTTGGTCCCAAAGAGAATTACAGTGCCCTATAATATTTCACAGATAAATTATTGGCAATATTTTCACAAATGAAATGGGGTCCTGCCACCCAAATATAACGCAGTTAATTTTCTTGCTAACTAGGTGTCCCCACCAAATACGCTCATAGGAACAATATATTTTTTAAATGGATGATAATGGAATGGTAACCCCACCCGCGCTATCGGTATACACCGGCGGGGCACCAGTGAAGGATGATAGGTGAGGATGAAATAGGTCAGTTAGCCCATCGTGACGAATTCAACAAGAATTGTTCACGATGATTTCCAGGGAGAACCACGTGGAGGTCGACCTAATAAGGTATATTGCTAGCAATGGGGCTGTCAAACTCCATTGCTAACAATCCTTTTCCCCCCAAACAATATATTCTATCGATATAGGTGATACACTATAGGCTACTTCGGGACTCGTCATGGCCCAGAATCCATACTATCCGGAGCACGGTTGTTTACAATTAAAATATTATACTGGAACCAAATATATAATCTTTTAAATAACATCAATTATATAATATAATCGATAAAAACTGTAGTTATTCGAAAAGAAAGCTTTTTGATTGGTCCATTTTGTAGTATGTAAACTAAGCTTAAAAATTAATGTAGGCTGGTATTATCGGTCACGGACAATGTTACAGAACAATGTTATGGCGCAAAAACCAAAATCTTCAAAAATAACGATACGTATTACTTATACGTCCCCTGATGAAAAAGATTCGTGTATCTTTTTTTTTATAACACATGGGGCAAACAAGCTTGCGGCTCACCTGTTGGTAAGTGACCACCGCCGCCCATGACCACTCACAACACCAGAAGCATCACAGGTGTGCTGCCGGCCTTTTAAAAAGGTATATGCTCTTTTCTTGAAGGTTATGTTGTCGTATCGGTTCGGAAATACTACTGCTGGAAATTGATTCCAAAGAATGGTTGTGCGTGGAAGAAAGTGCCTTGAAAAACGCACGGTGGAGGACCGCCACTCGTCCAGATGGTTGGGATGGAACTTTAGTTTGTGGCGGGTTGCACGGTGGTGAAAATCAGCAGCAGGTATCAATTCGAACAATTCCTCAGAGCAACCCCCCATGATAAATTGAGCAATTTTAATATTTTTGAATAATAAACATCCAAATAGGTATCTCTACATGTATAAGTATATAATATTATTATAAACAATAAGTAGGCAGTTGTGTACTAATTCATTTAGAACTTTATTGTCCACAAAATACAATACAGTACAACAATAATAAGTTTACAGTAGGCGGACTTAGTACTAATAGAACTCTCTACTAGTCAACTTTAAAAAAATGAAAAGACAACCTGTTTATAATTAAAAAGTTTATTTATTATATTTATTGTTAAGTCTAAGCTTTATTCTACGCACCAATCAGATCTAATAAGTGTAGATGCATACAACTTAGATGTTTACAACTTAATCCACAATACATTCACAATGCTTTATTAATAATTAAAGATTGTGTCCCACAAAAAACAGACTTCAATTGTGACAGAATCGAATATTTTGATCTAAAGAAAAGATCGATTTTGATAAAATTTCTATTGGACTAATCTATAAATATATCCTTTCAAATAAAAAAAATAATTTTCTAAATCGGTTTAAAATTAGTGTTATAAGGTCATAAAACAAAACAGATTTCAAATTCAAATATAACAACATAATTATTTAATTCCCAAACGTTTCGATCAATGAAACACGAAAGCATTATCGGGAAACTCTTAGAATCACTTTTATAAGAACCAAAGCATACAAAAAATACTCATTCGAATGGCATCTCAATCAAATCATTCATTTTGATTTATTTCTCTTCAAGAATAGCACTTGTATAGCGTCTACAGACAGTTCTTTTGTCTCTGGTAACCTGAACTGACCATAGACAGCGGTAAGAAAGCAAATAGCTGAGAATATGTAGAAAACTGGACCGAGACCAAGCCTCTCCACCAGTGGATTGAAGACTAATACAGTAATAAAATTGCCCAACCACATAACGGACAGTCCAATACTACTGCAGAGGTCTCTTACCTGAAATAAAAAGAAATATTAGGCACAAAAAAGTAGTGTCCGACCGAACTTTCGGTTTCGGTTTCGGATAGTTTCGGCACGAAATTCTACTTTCGGCCTTAGTTTCGGTTTCGACCAAAAATTAGCCGAAACTTTCGGCCGCGCCGAAACTTTGTGTGTTTGTTTGTGTTGTGTGTGTGTCTAACTGAAAGTAGAAGAGTAAGTCGTAATTTTAACATGTTTTTACATATATTAAAGTATATAACAAAATTGTCATATATATTTAATATATGACAATTTTGTTACATACTTTAATTAGTGTTTATTATTAACCTTTAATTATCTGTGTATTTGTGTAAAAAAATTGTGTAAAAAATACACTACATATCAGTACAGAAGAGAAATTAGAAATATGTTTCAGTAAGTTTCGGTTTCGATCGAAACTGAGACCAAGGCGGTTTCGGTTTTGATTTCGGCTTTAAAATCTGTTTCGGTCGGACACTACAAAAAGTTTTGGTGTCAAGTTTCGGACCATTCTAATGGGATACTATGTAATAATAATTAAATTACAACTATTTATATACAGGGTGGAAAAAACAAATTTGCCAAAACAAAAATAGCTACTTAAGACGAATTGTCTGAATCAGATGGTAGATTATTTTCCCACCGTAAATGTACCACAGCCATATAATTAACGATCCATAGCTTTAACGCCGCGCAATGTATTTGAAATTTTACGATCCACACAACGTACCTACTACCTACATTTTCAAATAATTAATGGGAAATATTGAAAAATATTCATTTGTTTGTAAAGATTGACAGACAAATGCAACATTATCACACTTTGTCATGAACACACTTAAATAATTTAACAGTATACATTAAATTGTTGTTTTTTATAACATACAAACGAGCATGCAGCTCAGTTGATGGTAAGTGACTACCGCCAATGATCACTCGCAACACCAGAGGCATTGCAGGTGTGCCGCCGGCCTTTTAAAAAGATATATGCTGTTTTCTTGAAGCTTATAATGTCGTAATGAGTCGGAAATACTGCTGCTGGTAATTGATTTCAAAGCATAGTTGTTCGTGGAAGAAAGTGCCTTGAAAAACGAACAGTGGAGATCCATTATATAAATATATCTATCGATATAAATTCCGTGTGGTCCAGGCACAGAATAGGCAACCCCCTTTCTTTCCCGTGGTTGTCTCGAAAGAGACAACTAAAGGAGAGCGAGAGATGGGCAGCAGCGTCCCTCTTAAATTGTCTCCAAGGATCGACTGTGGTTGCCAATCTGCCTGTCAAGCATGGCTATTGGCAAAGGCCCCCAAAGAGGATGCTGACGTTCAGCAATGGACAGTTAAAGGTGTGTTATAATGATCAATATAAATATGTAATTTTACAAATATTACCTCAGGTAGAAACACTTCTGCCATCAGTACAAACGGCACCATACCGCATCCCAACGAGAAAATGAAACTATAGGCATAGATTAGGAACGCCGTGAACCAATGTGGCGCCCAGTGAAACTGTAATTGGCTTCCAAGTAGCAATGTACATAATCCACATATTAACGATGTGATGATGAAAAGATTCTGTGAACAAATATAAATAAAAATATTTAAACACATATTTGGATTTTAACTTATTACTTGCTATTACTTATTCCTATACTAGGGATGAATAATAATATTTATTTATTATTATTATAATATATATTATATTTGTAATATATATAGTATTATAACAGCACGTTGACAGCACTTATTCGATGTTCCATTACGAAGAACAGAGTTCGCTAAGCAAACTCCCCTATCTCTTGCATTGAAACTACTCAATGATATTTTGAGCCAATGGGATATATCTGCCTCCAACTTGCTGGAGTTTCGTCGAGTGACCACAGAGTATTTATGTTCAGACGTTTTTTGTTTCAGTTTAATATTTTTTTTATATTATTTTTTGTTCAATATTTTTGTATAACATTCCTTTTTTATATGTTATTGTGCTCATGCTTTCCTGGGTAAGCGTACTGGATGACTGTAAGGCTCACCCAGTGGATGTAATAAATAAATAAATTATAATATTAATACTATTTATTTTTATGGGTGAAAATGGCATGGTAACGATAAACCTGCCTGCGCTAACGGGATACGCTAGCAGAGCACTAGTAAAGGGTGATACATGAAAATGAAAACAGATCAGTTAGCCCATCATGATAAATTCATCAGGAATTAACCATGATAGTTTCTAGGGGGAACCGCGAGGAGGTCGACCTGGTTGGGTATATTGCTAGCAATGGGATTCTCAGTCTCCATTATTATTATTTATAACAGCCAAATCAATGTTATAAACCTAGTGTGCTAACATACAAAATTGGACTATTTTTCTTGTAAAGTAAACACCTATAATAATGTACCTTATTCCAGCAAATAAATGATTTCAATTTCAATATTCCGATATTTCATTCATCCTGCATTTAGTAAATAAATGTCGATTCCAAATTCTATTTCATTTCCAAATTATTATTTTATGTTTTATTGAAACAATTTACAATTTTAAAAATAGTAGAGAAATGTTTGTGATGGCAATTACTGATTCCCCTTATGGGAAAGGCTTATGTTCAGCAGTGGACAGTCAACATTCGATATAATGACGATTCTAACTTACCTTTCTACCAAACTTGTCAACGACCAAAACGCATCCAAAACTGGCTAACAGAAAGTCGATTGCTAAGATTATTGAACACATATTTGGCGGCATTGAAGGCACTGCTTCCTTGAACAGAGGCTCAGCGTAGACCTGAAGTACTATGCAGCCCATCAGAAGCGTTAAAGTCATCACTAGGAGCACAGTGATCAGAGCTCGCTTTGATGACCTTGATGAGGCTGCAATAAAATTATTCTCGGTTGAAATCGTTTGCTGAATTAGACAGGGGGGTAAAAATACCAGAGGGAGACTTTGTACAAAAGTCGATTGCTTGGATACCTCTGTCCCATTCGTGTTTCAACCGTGAAGCAGTTGTGTTTGCATGGCTGTGTTTCGGTTTGAAGGGTGGGATATGGCGTGAATTTACTGGGTACAGAGGAATAACATCTGAGTCCTCAGGAATGGCAACGCATGGGGGGTATCATGGGCGAAACAGTATACTCTGTTATGTCCATGGTACTGCTCATGTCTATAGACGACGGTTACCACTTTCCATCAGGTGGGCCGTCAGCTTGTTTGCCATTCTAAGTTGTATAAAAAAATGTTTAAGATTTCATTTCACAAAAAAAGGCTTCAATTGTGTGGCAAAATCAGTTATTTTGTTTATAAACTAGATTACTGGACCGATTTTGATAAGATTTGTATTGGATTAATCTGTAAGTATATTCTTTAAAAAAATAAAGAGGGTTATGAACGCTACTAAGTTGTCAGCTTGGGTACCGCTCTCCCGTGTTTCTACCATGAAGCAACCGTAAGCCATGCAATGTCTCATTTGTCCACTATTATATGTACTTTATACAAGCAGTATAAGTATTAAATACTATTCTCTTCTTCGTGTATAATATACTATATCTTATATATTTATTTTATTTATTTACACTTTATTGCACCAAGTAAAAAGAGAAATAACAAATACAGTAAATATTAATGAGAAGTGATACAAAAGGCGGCCTTATCGCTAAGCAATCTCTTCCAGACAACCTTTGGGTAGAGGGCATTGAGAAAAAGACAAAGGGTAGGTGGTACAAACATATATACATACATATACACATACATATATAATATATACATAATAAAATATATACATAACATACACATACTTAACAGCACACATACAACAGAAAAAAAATAACGAAGGAAAACGAAGAAGCGTACAGTAAGAAGCGAATGATAGCAACACTGGATGTGCCCCAGGATTGGTCCGTCTACGTTACGAAAAGGGAGCAAAACTTTGCTGTACTCGTATGTGTCAACGGACGACTTTCAAAAATTTCAAGTGGATCAACGCAACGGCTCTGATCTAAATTTATATTTTTATAACTATACGCAAATAAAATCGAATAATTCAAGCTTGTTTATATGAAATTGACCTTATAACGATCTGTTGAAGACATCAGCACGTACCAGAGAACACAGGAAAATAGTACTAAAGTTGTTTATATGTGTAAATTTTTGTATGTATGAAAATCAATTACTACCAATACTGCATGCAAGTATTCTGTTGCTTCTCTAAGATTGAATGCAAGAGAATGCTTTTAGCATTAAATTCGCCATGTACACAACATATATACATACATGTAACTAATAAATAAATAAATAAAAAAAATAACTGTATTTGTGTTTAAAGGGTAGGACACAACAACGTAAATACGATTTATGGAGAAATAGAGGCGTAACCAGTTAGCTTGTTTGCCATACTAATTTTTATAAAAGAAAGAACACAGAAATACAGGCCTATCAGTTTTTTTAATGGATGATAATAGACAACCTCGCCCGTATTAACGGTACACACTGGCGGGGCACCAATGAAGGGTGACAGGTGAGAATGAAAAGACAAGTCAGTTAGCATATCGTGATGAATACACCTGGAATTCAGTACGACAGTTTCCAGGGAGACCACGTGGAGATCGACCTGACAGGGTATATTGCTAGCAATGAAGCTGATAGTCCGCATTACTAACAATCCCTTCCCTCCCCCCTCGGTCTATCGACTTTACTACTTTCCACTAGCTTGCTGTCCATTTTAAATTGCATAAAAATTCTAGTTCACAGTTCAGTCATATTATCCTTATTCGTAGAGATCAAACTTAAAAAAATAATATAATAATTATTTATAATTTATGTAAATATTTATTTTAACTTCTGTTTAGCACTACTACTGCCCACTCACTACTTCCTATGTCACTGTGTTAAATTGACTGGAAGAGATCTCTTTTAGAGATAAGTTCGCCTTTGCTAACATTGTTATTAATTTATTGTTGTTACTGTATATTTTAGTGCAATAAAGAATATATATAATAATACTTACCTAAGCATTATATTGGTGTGAAACACGGACAATGATGCAGAAGGAAAGAAAGATGCTTGAGGCGTTCGAAATGTGGACATGGAGGAGAATGGAAAGGATAAGCCGGACAGAAAAACTAACGAACGAGGAAGTCCTAAAAAAAGTAAACGAAAAGAGAACATTGATTAAAATAATAAAGAATAGAAGAGGCAAAATGCTGGGCCACCTTATACGACATGACGATTTTTTTAAGAGCATAATAGAAGGAAAGATAGAGGGCAAAAGAGGAAGAGGAAGACCGAGGATTAACTACATGGGACAGATAAAGGAATCACTAGACGTCATGTCGTATAGGGAGATAAAGGATATGGCCTGGGAAAAAGCTGGCTGGAGGAAGATGCATGAATTAGTTGCACCGACAAGAGGAAACTCTTAAATGAACTTACCTAAAATTTTCCAAGGCGATTCCTTGTTTATTTCAAGATCATTCCCTAATTTTTCATTTAGCAATCCACTCGTTACTTCCGGATCTGAAATATGCATATGCGGTTTATGAAAGGTCTACGTTCAGCAGTGGACAGTTCATCCATGATACCTCAATGTAACGCTTGGAGGTATCATGGATGAAACAATATACTCTGTTATGTCCATGGTACTGTTCATGTTTATAGGCGACTGTTACCACTTTCTTTTAGATGTACCGTCAGCTTGTTTACCATTCTAAGTTGCATAAAAAGAAAGTCTTCTACACAAAAACTACTAAACGGATTTGAATGAAATTTTGTACATTGATAGCTTATATTGTAACTTAGAATACGTTAATTAAAGATTCACGCAGACATAGCCGTGAAATGTAGCCAGTATTCAAATAAATTTACCTTGTTGTTCAGCTAGAATCTTCTCCAATCTCGGATCTAACTGTAATTTAATTTTTCTTATCTCCACCTCCACTTCCTTGGAGTGTACGTCGACTTGATTGTAAAAGGCTATAGATTTCGCTGCTTCCTTTACATGAAACGAGAATAAAAAAGAATATTAATATTGTACGCACACTATCCGCTGGTAATTAATGCTCCTTTCCACTCAGGGTTTACTGGAAGAGAACTCTTACAGAGTTAAGCTCGCCTGTTGTACATCTTTATTTTATATAAATTATAACAATGTATATTTTGTGTACAATAAAGTATAAATAAATAATATTATTATTTTCATTTGCCAGAGTTTTTTTTTTTTATTATTATTATTTTTTTACACATACACTAAACAAACTTTTCACTTAAATAATATCATTAATTAGATACAATCTCTTTTAAAGAAAATAAATTATACATGTTTCATATGACAAAACAACATAATAATGAAGGTAAAACAATTATATAATAACATTACTATGTTACTTTTGAAATTAAAATAAAAAAAAAAAGAAAAACATAAAAAAAGTTTCTGTGCAGTATATCATGTAAGTATCATTATAAATTATAATTGTGAAAGTTTATAAAAATGCTTGGATATATTTATGAATATTGCTCAGTCACGATTGAACGGCTAAATGCAACTTTTTTTTTTGTATGCAACTTAGAATGGCAAACAAGCTGACTGCCCACCAGATGGAAAGTGGTAACCGTCGCCTGTAGACATGAGCAGTACCATGGACGTAACAGAGTATACCGTTTCGTACATGATACCCTCATCAGGAATAACATCTGAGCACTCAGGAATGGCAACGCATGGGGGGTATCATATATATATATATATATATATATATATATATATATATATATATATATATATATATATATATATATATATACATATAGTGTTATGTACACATTATATGTATCTATTACACTATATAATTCATACTCGTATATTTTGTAGTAAGCAAAATATGGCATCCCAGACAAACCTCTGTGGTTTTTGGTATAATTATTTGTGAATTTGGTTTGTATAGTAAAGAAAGAAAGAAAAAAAAAATTTTTATTCAACTAAACTTTAAGCATTTAAGCAAGATTTAAGCATTTTTCAATGGTCATCTTTTCACCACAGCCCATTCGGAACGCAATCTCAGTCAAGAAGAACGGACAAGAAACTTGGCTGTTGCTTTTTTTCAAAATAATTTATCTATACATATAAATAATGAATTTGTGTGAATACAATATACTAAGCAGCATTAGATCTTAAAAATAAATAAATAAAATAAAATAATTAAAAAATATTTATATACTCATAGTAATCATTTCGATTCTTTTAAACTGATTTGGAACTGATTTATCTTATATTAACACAAAATTATTTTAAAAGTCTGTGGTGAGATGATACTCATCAATGTTTATTATATATATCAACTGTTATAATATTACTGAACTTAAAAACAAGCAGACAAACAAACATTTTGTTATATATATACCAATATATATTTATATCATGACCCTTGGTCACGGGACTCACTCGCAAGATGCGCGCGCCGGTCGCGCAGGCGCTTTGTGATTGTTGGCTGCGCGCACGCGGCCATCAACCCGCGAGAGTGTTTTGTTGACTTGGACGATTCATAAACTTATTTGTTTTATTGTAAAGTATTTTTTGTATTTTAATCATTGATTAAATATATTTACAAGATGAATCCTACAATTCAAAATGATATCTCACAGCATGTAAAGACATAATTAAAAATCTATTATAATAAAATTTCCTTACCTCTTCTTTACCAATACGTAACAGATGAACAGGAGACTCCTTGAGGAACATAAGCAGCAACATCCCAGCCACAGACAGCGTCAAATGGGCATACACTACTTGGTAATACGTCAGGTAACCCCCGAGTACGTAAGATATTAGGAGGCCGAGGAAAAATCCTGACGCTGAACACGCAGTCATTCCACCTCTGATGGAATCGTGCGATATCTCCGATATGTAAATCAATGATACGTTCTGACCTCCAATTCCTATACCAGCCACGGTCATAGCTATTAGTATGAGAGTTACATTGGTTGTGAGGGAAATTATCGCCCAGGCTATCTGAAACGGAAGAAATTATATAGATAAAAAAATTGTAATACTTAGAATGGCATAATGCAAGAAAAGGTATGAATTTTTTTATACAACTTAAAATGGCAAACAAGCTGACGGTCCACCTGATGGGAAGTGGTAACCGTCGCCTATAGACATGAGCAGTAGCATGGACATAACAGAGTATACTGTTTCGCCCATGAAACCCCCCCCTGCGTTGCCATTCCTGAGGACTCAGGTGTTATTCCTCTGTACCCAGTAAATTCACGCGAAGAAGACAAAGGTAATGGTTTTTGAGAGGAAAGAAAGTTTAACGGTAAGCCAGAAGCAAGTGAGTGAGTTTCTATATTTGGGATCATTGTTTACGAGGGATGGAAAGTGTGACAGAGATATTAACAGGAGAGTAAAAGCTTAAAGATTGATGAATGTGGAAGAAGCGAAAGAGATTTGTTTAAATCGAAGCATTTGGCATTCCATTGTTTCCGCCTACCCTAATGGAAGACAGGCGTGACAGATATGTACGTATGTATATAAAATGGCATGTCGTCTATAGACATTAACTAAACCATGGATATTACAGAATATACTGTCACTTCTATGGTTACTATGCGTCCTTTTTGCATCGCCATACCCGAAGACGATGATCTTATGGCTCCGCACCATGTAATTTCTATGACATAATGCACTCTTCAAAGCAAGCCATGCAAACGCAACTGCTTGCAGTGTACAGCCACAGTGTTGGGACAGAGGTACCTCATTTATCATCTGCCAGTGTATACTTACCGAAAGCACGGGTGGTTTTTTTTAATGGCTGAAAATGGATCACTATTCCATCCCCGCCCGCGCTATCATTATACACCGATGGGGCACTAGTGGGAGATGATAAGTGAGAATGAATGCAGGTTAGTTGGCCCACCATGTTGAAGAAGAATTAACCATAATGGTTTCCAGGGGAACCGCGAGGAGGTCGGCCTGAGAGGGTATATTGCTAGCAATGGTGCTATTAGACCTCATTACTAACAATCCCTTTCCCCCCAAATACGGGTGGTTACCATTCCGTTACTATTTAAAAAAGTACTCATCTGATAAAAGTTGTCGGTAAAATCAATAAAAAAACACGCTTAAGCAGAAGATAAACTATTTTTTACTGAACAACGTATTATCTTGCGGAAGTCCATTGATTTTTAACAGTAGTGGCCAATCTTCATGTGTTGGCAGTCACATACATACTAATTGTAGTGGAATTAAACAAAATAATCCTAATTATCTGACCAGTAATAAACTATGTACTAACGTTTCTTCTTTTTTCTAATACCTTAATCTGTTTAAAGAAATACTAAAAAGTACCTTTTTATACAGCTATGGTGGCAAACAAGCATACGACATGTCTGCAAGCGGGGTTACCGTAACCTATAGACGCATGTAACTGCAAAGATGTCACGCGCGCGTTGCTGACCCTTAAGAAGCTTTACTGCGCCTTATTTTAATAACTTATCTATTTATCATTTCGATTTTATATATTTTTTTTATATTACTGAGGTGGCAAACAAGCATACGGCCCACCTGATGGTAAGCGGTTACCGTAGCCTATAAACGTCTGCAATACCAAAGGTATTACGCGCGCGGTGCCGACCCTGAAGAAACCTCTTTACCCCCCTTTTGAAGAACCCCATACTGTAGTCTCTTGGAAAATCCTCGGCAGGGACTTCCGACATCTTATTTCTCGAAGATTTTATTAAAATTAAATAAAAAATTTATACTTACAACATACGGCAATCCGAACAAGATTGTAGCATATTTTCTTCCTAGTACATTGAAAACGTAGCCACAGAAGGGCGTTGCAATCAAACCGCCTATATTCGGTAGGCTGCCCAGCAACGAGATCTCCCAAGTGGACATAGGAGTAGAGAGAACAGTTTCATTGGATCTGAAGAAGTCAGTGGTATAGGACGGCCACGCGAACACATACCCTGTCTGGCACGCTAAGAACGATACTGAAAATAAAATAAATAAATAGATTACAGTTTTTTTTTTAATGGATGATAATGGAATGGTAACCCCACCCGCGCTATCGGTATACACCGGCGAGGCACCAGTGAAGGATGATAGGTGAGGATGAAGCAGGTCAGTTAGCTCACCGTGACGAATTCAACAAGAATTGTTCACGATGGTTTCCAGGGGGAACCACGTAGAGGTCGACCTAATAAGACATATTGCTAGCAATGGGGCTGTCAAACTCCATTACTAACAATCCCTTTCCCCCCAATAGATTACAGTATACCGTCTTACCTTATCAACCGTTAACTGTCCACTGATGAGCATTGACCTCCACTTATTGGGTGGTATTGCTAGTAGTTGCCACGCTTGGCGGGAGATTTGGCAACAACAGTTAGGCTTTGGTGATGTTTTAAGCGGGACGCTACTGCTCAACCATCAAGCTCCCTTAGTCGTCTCTTACGACACCCACGAGAAAGGAAGGGGTGGCCCATTCTGTGCTGGGACCGCATGGCAATTTTTATATTATATAACATACAATAGCAAACAAGCTGATGACCTACCTGATCGAAAGTCTCAGGCGTCGCCTATAGACATAAACAAAACTATGCCAAAACTGCAAACTGCATCAACAGTGCTACATCAAAATATAGCATGCAATGGAATGGAATAAAATAAACTTGTAAAAATATTAACAATAATACAATACTAGTCACTATTCGAATGAAAGATTGAATTATAATTCGCTATCATTATTATATTTAAATCCAACATGGCGTACATACCGCTATCTTGAAATAACATTTTTAATTCTTTAAGTTTTACAAAATAAAATATGCGATATCGAAATTCTAAAGAATGTTATTTTTTTTAATCGACCCAATTTTAATTTATAAACCATTAAAACTCTATTTGGCGTAGTAATTTAAAATCAATTAGTTCACGCTTTTTAATGAGCATTCATATCATAGTGTACGAAAGTATGGCAACATAGGAATTATCTGTCAACTGTCAAAAACCGTCTATATAACGGATTACGTTCTAAAGAACTATTCAAAATAAACTTTTTTATATACATTGACAATTGTTTATAAATTTTCTTTTTTATAAAATCTACGATTGTCCAATTCTAAGTGGAATATGTTCAAAATTAACCTTTTTATATGTTGACAATTGTAGTTTTTTAAAAGAAAATTTATAAACAATTGAAATAGAAAAAAAAATACATACAATACTTCAAGTCAACAGACGGCATTTTTACTTACAAATAATATAATAATATAAATAATAATATATTATAACAAGAACCAGCATAGTTTACAAACAAGAACTTTTCGATATGATGCCTACAGCCACCTTTTACCATTACACCGCTCACTATCAGCAGAGAATTCAACCTCACACCTAGAACCAGAATGGTCGCACACAGTGCGGTTTCAGAGAAGTTTCCTGCCGCGAACACTCAGGTTGTAGAATGATTTTCCTGTCAAGGCTTTCCCTAGAGATTACAACATGGGGTTCTTCAGAAAGGGCGAATTAAGGTTTCTTAAGGATCGGCAATACACGCATGACATCTCTCGTTTTACAGGCATAGGCTATGGCAACCTCATTTACCATCAGACGGGTCATATGTTTGCCACCAAAGTAATATAAAAATCTCTTTTATAAATAATCAATCTAAAATATTGACAACTAGCTTTTACTGGCGACTTTCTCCGCGTCCATTGACCGGGATAAAGAGTACGCTATATTCTTCTTCATCTCCTATATGTGTATACAAAATTTTATGATGGAGCCGTTAAGGCGCTAAGTGGTAACAAACAAAAAGTCACAGTGAACAGTGTACATACGGGGGGTTTTGCTCGTAGTTGCCACGCTTGGCAAGAGAATTGGCAACTACAGTTTGAGTTTTACTAATATTTTAAGAGCGACGCTGCTGCCCATCCCTACACCATAAGCCTTACTTGCCTGTTATGACATCCACGAGAAAGAGTGGGGCGACCTATTCTATGCCGGTACCTACATGGCGAATCCATCACGTGATACTCAAGCTGACATTGTTATTTGGAACCCGGTAATAAACATCTGCATATTCACTCAATTCATAAAAATTTGTTTCTATCTCCTTTATTTATATGTGTATACAAAATTTTTTTTTTTTTTTTTTTTTTATCGAGGGGAAAATCTGGAGCCGTCAGGAGACCCACCGCGCGGGATGGCGATGGGTACTGTGGGTATGATTCTTACCCACTAAAACCACCTCGGTATTCCTCCCAGCGCCGTGTGCCGATGACGAGGGCTCGCGATTTGCAGTCGTCCGCGTGGTAACAAACAAAAAGTCACAGTGAACAGCTGTATCGACTCTCCGCCCCCGCGGCCATCTCGTGCCGGAGCACGAGCCTTCCGCGGTTGGCTGCACCTAGCCAAGCCACCCACCCTGTGGTCTGCCTTTCTGCCGGCCGCGGCGCAGACGCCGCAGTGATGGTGCAACACTTTGCGGACTTGTGACCCGCTTGTCCGCAGCGGAAGCACAAGACGCCTCCGCTGGGGTCAACACTCGCGGTGCACCGCTGCGCCACGTGTCCGGAGACGAGTAGCACCGCATTCGAGCGCCATCACCCAGCCGACTCGGATCCGGCCTGCCTTGGCCAGAGTCTTGGCAGCACCAATTTTAAGCCAGCACCTAAGGGAGAGCGACGGACCTCCCCCGTCTTGACGAGGGCCTCGTCGCATCCCCCTTCGCGCGCTACCGCGGCGACAACCTCGGCAGGTGTTGCCGAGTCGTCAAGATCCCCCAACCGTAGCTCGGCCGATTTGGTCGGCCTGGAGATCTTGACCGCTCGCTCCGGGAGGACTTCGGCTAGCCTCGCGGCCAGCTGGTCCGCCTTGTCGCCGCTGTCGTTATGACATCCACGGTTATACCCAATGGCTTGAACTTGGTGTACGCCTCGGCAAGCACCGACTTGTAGGACATCCCTTCTCCTCGGCCTCTGGCTGCAGAGACAAAACCACAGCCGATGAACGAGGCAGCCTAAAACGCCGCTTTTTCCTCTTTTTGGGCGCCTTCCGCCGGATTTGCGCCGCTTCTCTATCAGCCGCCTGCGTGGCAGGTGCCGCTTTTGTCGCGCCTTAGCCGTGCGCTTGCCACGCCGGACTACCTCAACGTTATCAGTAGACGGTGGCTGGGCGTCGCTCGCGCCCGGCTCGACGGTAGGGGCCGGTTGGGAGACAACGTCCTTGACTACCCGCGATGCAGGTGGCTGCGAGGCGCTCTTTGCCCACTTCTTTCGTGGCGGCTTCTTGCCGCCCACATTCCTCAATTCCGGCGAATCGGGCGCTAAAAAGCTCGCCGATTTGCCGGACGATCCGGGCCTCGATGCCCTCGTCAGGTGGAGGGACCGCACCCGGCTGTAAAGAAACCGGTAAAGATATTAACATCTGTCTTAGCACGGCTAGCGAGAATTCCTGGCGGAACTCGGCGTTCGCCGTTTGCGCCTCCTTCAGCTCGCGCTCGAGCTGCTGGTTGCGAGCCATAAGCGTCGCCGTGTCGAATCACGACGACATAAAAATTGCTGCTGTTCCATTTCTCCATTTTAAGCTCCGCGTTCTCTTGCGTGGCCGATCACGGATGGCAGCGATATTCGCCTTTATGTCCCTGACGATCGTCCCCTTTATATTGCCCGACCGCTTTAATCTAGGATCTGGTCTGCCCTCTCCTCGATGTCAGCACCCAAGGTGTCGGCCAGCAGCGCGTCCTCAAGGGAGCTACAACGAGTCACCTTGCTGGTCGAGGCCTTCGAGGTGCCGGTAACGGTAGCCGCAGCCAGCCTTTTTACAACCTTTGCCTCAGATGCAGAGGACGGTACCTCGACAATCTCCACGTCCTCCTCCTCACTGTCGCGTCCATTGTTGCGTTCAACCAACCGGCGCTTGCGCCGGGACGTCCTGCTGACTGCTCTTGAAGTCGTCCCTTCACCTGTGACATCGCTCTCAAACTCTGAACAGAGTGAGAGAGACGACGCCGTGTTCCTCATCGTATAGCGCGAAATACTCTCCGAGTAACTTTCGACGCTCCTCGTCCTTTCCTGCGCTCCCTTGCTCCACACTCCCACTACTACCTCCTTCCTGGCCTTTCGTGCCCCCCCCAGTGAACCATTACCCGGTGCGGTGGTGGAGATTAAAAATTTTCTCGATGAGGCCATATCTAGATTTCCTTTTTTAGCGGGGGAGGTCCCGCAAGGAAAAATGAAAATGAAAAGAAATGATAGATAACAAAAGAACAGAAAGAGACAAAATGGACAGAAAAGAAACAGAAAGTGCAAACCAAAACAAACTAAACAAACATAACAATGAATACAAACGAAAAGAAGAAGAAACAAAACGAAGGGCAGATTGGACGACTCGCAACTCATCACGTCCCTGCGACCGTCGAAAAGAGGGAGCGAATCCACCAACCTCCAAAGTCGCCGTCTCGCCCAATCCGCGGCGTCGGAATATTAGCAAGCGAGATCTCTAAAGAGACGTTGTACCGCCGTTGCCCGGGGTGCACCGTCCCCAGCCATTGTCAGTTCCCGCCGGACTAATCCACCAGGACAAGTGACCATACAATGGCCAGGGCGCACTAGGAGGTTTTCCGACCCAACACCCCTCGTCAATTGTTCCTAGAAATTGACAGATAACTCTAATGTTGCCACACTCCAGTAAACTCTGACAAGAACCATAGATTAAAAATCATAAACTCGCAATGACTTGACAAAAAAAAACAAGATATCAAATAATACGTACTGCAAAATGTCCCCCAGCATTGTATAGCAAATGCCGACGACTTCAATTTACCGTTTTCCATTTTAACACTTATTTTGTTTAATTCTAATCTTATTATTCAAATTACAAAGAAAAAAAAAGTATATTTCTTTATCTGTTTAAGTTGAAAAATGTATTCTTTAACGAATTATACGATTTAAAATTTAATATTTCTAAAAAAAAAATACTAATGTGACACTTCTTAAGTACATAAGTTTATTAATAAATACTAAATGTGAAGTAAGGATTCCTGACAGTAACATTTAGATAAGGAGACGACAGATTGTATTGTTTTATTGCCTAGTATTACACTTAGTAGACGTAAATCTTTATGTAAATATATTTAATAATAATAATACATCATATACTATCGTAAACTATGTTTTCTCCCGCTACTTCGTACGCATGGATTTCAGAAGTTTTTTTTTTTATAACACGGGGCAAACGAGCATGCGGCTCACCTACAGTAAATGATCACCGCCGCCCATGATCCCCCACAACACCAGAGGTGTGCTGCTGGCCTTTTAAAAAGGAATATGCTCTTTTCTTGAAGGTTATTATATCGTATCGGTTCGGAAATACTGCTGCTGGAAGTTGATTCCAACGAGTGGTTGTGCGTGGAAGAAAGTAAGGCACTTTCTTCCACGCACAAAACGCAACGGTGGAGGACCGCCACTCGTCCAGATGGTTGAGATGGAACTTTAGCTTGTGGGGATTTCAGTAGGAAAACCAATAAAGTAGGCCACTTACAGAAAAGTGTATAAAGAAAAAGCATATACCAAGAGAATATAACTCTTAAAACCGCATCCAATTGGATGCAGTAATTTTTACGTGATACGAGATATTTTTAGTATCTACCGTTATTTATTAAAACTTCCCTTTTGTATTTATTCTTAAATATTTCCAACATACAGACATCGTTTAGTTATAATTTTATTATATTAGTAAATCTGTAGCACCCACTGAATACGATGCTAGGATGACGTATTTGTATATAGATCAACTTGTTTCGACGTAATTAGAAAATGGCAAAAAATGTCGAACTTAAAACGTACATCATAACGAAGTATTGCAACGTCGCATTCGTCTGTCAGTTTTCAAAAACAATTATATGTTTTTCAATGATTCAAATTCAAATCATCTTTATTCAAATAAACTTATTTACAAGCACTTTTAAATCGACTTTTTTTTTTTTTTTTATACAACTTAGAATGGCAAACAAGCTGACGGCCCACCTGATGGAAAGTAGTAACCGTCGCCTATAGACATGAGCAGTACCATGGACATAACAGAGTATACTGTTTCGCCCATGATACTTCCCATGCGTTGCCATTTCTGAGGTCTTAGGTGTTATTCCTCTGTACCCTGTAAATTCACGCCATATTCCACCCTTCAAACCGATACACAGTCATGCAAACACAACTGCTTCACGGCTGAAACACGAATGGGACAGAGGTACCCAAACGATCGACTTTTGTACAAAGTCTCCCTCTGGTTACAACTAAACTCAACACTTACTCTTTTAAATCTCTTTTTAACATTATGTGAATTTATTTAATTGTACTATATCTAAAATTACATAATTCTAAATAATTTATTATTCTTAAAGCTGTCACTGAAAATTTGTATTTTGATGGTAATTTTTTTTAAATCCGAAACAAAATATGAAGTACATAGGTGCAGTGTTTTAATGATACATTAATATGTAATGTAAGAAAAAAATCCCCTAATTTTAATATAGAATAATATTAGTATAGAAGCATATTTTGTAGATTTTGATTTAATACTATCAAAAATACTATAAATTATAATTTGCATGCTTTCTACAAGCTAAATGCAGAACTGTTCGCTTATCTAATTTTATTTGCTTTGAATAGATGATAAAAAAAAAAACTTTGCTATCACCTATTTTCAAAGCAAATACAGTTTATTATTTTAAACTGAAACGTTAATAATAGGATACATTATAATAAATAATGTATTCTATTATTAACATTTTAGTTTGGTTTAGTTTAGCGGAGCACTTTTTGAATAATCAAACGGAAACATTAAAAATTATGAATTGTATTTGACAATTGACAGATAGCTGCGACGTTGCCACACTTCAGTGAGCAATATTTATGAACGCTCTTAAAGGAGCAGTATTTTATTTATTTATTTATTTCTTATTGCATTCCATAATATATTTAGTAGATAACATTTCAATTATGAACCCTGTTGGGCACAGCAAGTACGAGAGAGGAGTATATATATATATATATATATATATATATATATATATATATATATATATATATATATATATATATATATATATATATATATATATATATATCGACTTCAAAAAGAAGGAGATGATCAATTTGATTGTATTTTATTGTATTTGTTACCTCATAACTCCGTCAGTTGTAAACCAATTTGGAATTCCTTTTTATTTATTTATAGGATTACCAACATAAGATACAGCTAAACATTTTAGTAGAATACATTGGCAAATTAAATCTAACTGTTCTTACATTTATAGGCGACCACAGCGTGCCTTGTGTTTGATAAACATTAAAATAGAATTAAATTATTAAATGTCATTAAATAAGTAAAAATATTAACAATATGAATAATAACATAATATAAATAATGGAAATTGTAATGTAATTATTTTAAATTATTATTATATTATTATGTTTTTATTTTTTATTTATTTATCTGAAAGGATATACTTACAAATTGGTCCCATAGAGATTTTATCAAAATCGGTTCAGTAGTTTAATTATTAAAGATAAATAACTGTTTTTTTACAACATATAAAGTCGGTTCTCTTTATGTAATACAATATTATCATTAAATTTCAATAATTCAGCATCATATCAGCCTTTATTCGTCCACTGTTGGACAAAAGCCTACCCTTGGGGGGTTTTGCCAGTTACTACGCTTGACAGGCGGATTGGCAACCGCAGTTAGGCTTTACAGATATTTTAAATATGCTACTGCCCATCCCTCGCCCACTTTAAGTCGCCTTTTACGACATTCACGGGAAAGGAATTTTTGGCCTATTCTATGCCGGTACACACACGGCAAAAAAAAAAATTATACTCTTTAGTTATCATTAGATTTCCACTTAATTCAACCATTACGACATTGTCATGTAGAAAAATAATATATTTAGCATAATTACAGTAATAATATAAATTGAGATTATAATATTTAGACATAGTAATACATTTTTATTACGTAATCTTAGCTGAGATAAAAGTCTGTTTGCTGCCACGTTGTCACTTACGTGCTATGTTATGCATAAAATATATTAACAAAAAAAAAAGAAAATACCATTTCAAGAAATCTTATTATTGACACTTCTTTTTCTACCTATCCGTATCCCAATTATTATAATTATGGGATCGGCGTAATATGTTTTTTATACATATTACAAAAAGTTTTGGCTTGGTTTTACGACTTGACGCCTGTCTGACGTCAACACTTTTTGGAAATGGATACTATTATATGAAATTAACACTAAAAATAGGATTTGATCCCTTAAAGTTACTAATACATTTTAAATCAAAGGAAGAATCAGAAGGGGGTACTCAATTCGGTTGTATTTTGTTTTTTATGTTTATTAGTTCATAAATCCGACAGTTTTAAATCGATTTGGAAAATTTTTTGTTTTCATCCACAACTTAGAATGGCAAACAAGCTGACAGTCCACCTGATGGAAAATGGTAACCGTCGCCTATAGACATGTGCAGTACCATGGATATAACAGAGTATACTGTTTCGCCCATGATACTCCCATATGTTGCCATTCCTGGGGACTCAGGTGTTATTCCTCTGTACCCTGTAAATTCACGCCATATCCCACCCTTCAAACCGAAACACAGCCATGCAAACACAACTGCTTCACGGTTGAATCACGAATGGGACAAAGGTACCCAAGCAATGGACTTTTGTACAAAGTCTCCCTCTGGTATATATATTTTATAAACGCCTGGAATTTTCTATTAGCAATTCTACTAATCATCAGCATAATAATAAAATTTTTTTGTTCACCTATACCGTAACTATTTACATTATAAATAGTGTTTATGTGTATTTCTTGTGTATTATTATGTATAATTATTTCAGTATGTTACTATAATTATATCACATATTTTTCACTACATCTGCCCTTCATACGCTTTCTGTTTTTACGCAATGGTTAGCTGGTAGAGAATGCCATACGACATTAAGCTCGCCATTTGTAAAAAGTTTTATTATGCAATAAGGAATAAATAAATGAATATGATTAAAATAATTATATTTACCCAATTTCCAAAAGAAGATAATTAAGAATTCACAGGTTTTGTAGATTTCGTGATATTTTCACCCAGTCTGAATCGATTATGATTATTCTTTTTGGAACGGGCCTTACTCCTATTTTATATGTAATCTTGTATCTTACCTTATTTTATATGTAATCTTGTCTTATGTTACAATGAAAGATTTTTTGGATAAGCGTTTGCACATCAAAATCTTAAAATGTATTTTTTGCCATTTTTTTATTTTTATTTCTGGCAATATCTTGTGTATATATACTGAGACCCGATTGAATACAAGATTTGATTACCTGATTGATATATAAATATATTTCTTATTCTTTACTTAAATTAAAATAGGAAAAAAAATAGCAAATTCAGATCTTGACAACTTCATGTCATGGTAAAAGTAATATTATTGGGTGTCACTGTATATTTATTGCATTGTGCTGAACTCTTTATAAATGCGCCATTATGGGCCAACTGACCTGTTTCATCCTCATTTATCTCATTCCACACTGGTAGTCCACACCAGCGTATATTAGTAGCGAGGGTAGGCTTACCATTCCATCATCATCCATTAAAAAAAAAACATATATAAAGACAACACTTTGTCATTGACTGTTTGTCATTCTTGATTGATTGATTGAATTGTCAAAATGTAATTTAAATAGAGTTGATTTATAAGGTAATTGAACGGAGTATAATTCGATTTAGGAAAATTTGAGGGTAGAATGAAATAAATCAATAATACATTTATACTATTCTTTTAATTTACAATACAAAATCTTAACTAGTATATACATTTTTTTTTTTATTATATAACTGTAAACAAAACTGACAGAGCATCACATTTATTAAAATATATTTTAAAATAATCTTCTAATATTTTATTACTTATTTCAAAATAATACGTTGGTGTGTACTATAAATATTTCACTTAATATACAGTTTATTTTGTTACAATTACAAATAATATGTTGGCAGTGTTAATTAAATTATAGAATTAAATTAACAATTTTATATCTATACAAATTGTAATACACCTATGTTGTTAATTCATTTCGTTGGATATTCGAAATTTAAAAACTAATTAATGGTGTATCCAGTAGCGGACTAAGCCAAGGCTCGGGGAGACAGCTGAATGAAGCACTCAATTTAAGAAGTTGTATATAATTTTACAAGTTTTTTTTTTTTTTACAATTCACATTTGTGTACATTTAGTGTTTATGTATATTTAGTTAAAATTTCGAAAATGAAATTTTTTTTTTCAACACAGGGGACAAACGAGCATGTGGCTCACCTGATGGTAAGTGACTACCGGCGCCCATGATCACCCACAACACCATCGGCATCACAGGTGTGCTGTCGGCCTTTTAAAAAGAAATATGCTCTTTTCTTGAAAGTTATGATGTCGTATCAGTTTGGAAATACTGCTGCTGAATGTTGATTCCAAAGAGTGGATGTGCGTGGAAGAAAATGCCTTGAAAAACGCACGGTGGAAGACCGGCATTCGTCCAGATGGTTGTGATGAAATTACATACACACACACAATGATATACTTAAACACACTTAGAATACTGATGTGGATGAGGACAATGCATTTGAAGGCCCCCCAGAGGCCCCGGACAGATAACCCCTTGTGACCCTCCCCTTCCTTAATCCGCCACTGGGTGTATCGTAATTATTGTAAACTGATAAAATTCTCAAAATGAAGTGACAGGTAAAAAATAGTCCAATTATTATTGATCGTGGCACGTAACTTTAATGTTTACTTATATTTATTTTTCAAATGTCACAACATTTTTAAACGTCATTTTCGAACAGACGTGACGTCATCTAAACAATTAAATTGTAATTTCATTTCATTTCCAAAATGATAATTGTTGAGTTTTCTCGTATTATAATAATACATTCCTTTAAGGTCGCACATGTTAATCGTCATTAAGAAAACTTAACTGATCCTCTGGATTTCATCCAACATAACGACACCATTACACTGCTTAGTAATGAACCTAGCAAGACTAAAACACCGCCCCATAGAGCTGCTGAAGATGAAATACAAAATCCAGACGGCTCTGGAGGCAGATCTTCAGCGAATACAACTCTCAAACCTTTGCCAATTGTTGTGGATGGCTCCGTAGTACTATTACCCACGTGGATGAGGTCTCGTCGTCGCCTCTTGGGATCAATGCTTCCAGGAATCGGGCATACATCGCAGTCAGTCTTACACAATTCAACGTCGCATTGAATGATCAAGTCCATCTCGTCAGGGAATTTAAAGGCGTTGAAGAACGCATAAGCAATAATTGAAGCTCCCGTATTTCCTGTTTCCCTAGTCTTCTGGAATGCACCAAACAGTTTAGGTTTCAGCACGCAGCCATTGCTGTCTGTGAGTGGCACAACATGGTTGTTTTCAGAGTCTCTGGCGACGCATTCTCTAACTAAGATATCGAAACCAGCATCACCAGTAACTGATACAACCAAGGTCATTATTTCACCAATTTTAACCAAACCGTTCGCCTCTGGTGCGAATGGTCCTCGTCCTACCTGAATATCGAGTCGGGCCATAGCAGTGTCTCCACTGAAGTTGCTCGTGATCTGATTTAGCATACCAACACTAAGTGAGGAAACCAACTGCTTAGTTAGATTGCCTTCCCACAAACATCTTACTCGTCGAATGTGATCCCAAACTTCTTGGATGCCAGGTTCATTTTGCAGTACCAAAACATTTTCCAAATACGCCTGCCCTTCGTTCTGGAAGTCACTGAAGAATCTCGTACCACAAGTGTTCAAGCTGACGGTGAAGGAGTACTTGATTTGATTTGAGTTTTCTCTTACATAAACGCATTCAGGTTGGTTATAATGATCTTGAGAGTAGATGATTCCATTGTAGGGTTTATTGAACTCAATATTGATCGTCATCATTTCTTTACCGCAATCAACGGTGATGGCGTGAATGTGTGGTGGGTGGCGGTTTTCATCCTCAGTGGTAGCTGATGAAGTGCTTTCTTCTCCGACATCTGGCCGTTGTGGTTGCTGAGGTTGCGAGGGTTGTTCGAAAGGCGGCAGTGTGCTCTCATCAGGCTGGCTGGGCTGGAAAGGTGGTGATGTAGGCTGGCTAGGTTGGTAAGTTGGTTGAGAAGGTTGATAGGATGGCTGGCTAGGTTGGTATGTTGGTTGACTAGGAGGTTGGTAAGTGGGCTGGCTGGGTGGTTGATATGGTGGCTGGCTGGGTGGTTGATAGGTAGGTTGACTAGGTGGGCTATAGGTAGGTTGACTGGGTGGTTGATAGGATGGTTGACTCGGGTTGTATGTTGGTTGACTAGGTTGGTAGTCCGGTAATGAGGGTTGGCTTGGTTGATACGACGGAGAGCTCGGCTGGCTTGGCTGGTAAGAAGGTTGTGTTGGTTGACTGGGTTGATAAGATGGTTGACTCGGTATATAAGGTTGGTCTGGTTGGCTTGGTTGATTCGACGGATATCCAGGGCTCGATGTACTAGTGAGAGGTGGACTAGGAGATGGGGGTCCTTCGTTATAAGCTGGCGTAGGACGGGAACCACTCGGTGGATATCCGGTAGGAGGTAAATAGCTGGCTGGTTCGAAAGGCCGTGGCTTCTCGGGTTTGCCTCCAAAGTACTGTCGTGCTGGAAACAGTAAAAATGTATATTAGTATGCTTGCTAATTTTCTATGAGTAAATTTAAAGTGATATGTGCTAAAATGGTGACACTGCAATATATACAGTGCTTGTGTGTTGATGTGCAGGAATTAAGGGTGAACATATTTTGATAGTGCTTCGTTTAATACAGTGCTACAGTAAATATTTGTGTAATTTTTATAGATATAAGATGATAGTAAAAATAAAAAAAAAGTACACAATTTCTTAAAAAAAACATTATTAAAACATTGAAAATAAATAAAAAATAAATGTGTGATTATAATATTTAAAATATGTGTTTAGAAAGGAGGAATAATCCACACTGAGTCCATTTGCACTGTGGCGGTATATACACTCAATTTTGTGTATTATTGTATTATGTACTTCTATGTATTGTTGTGTTGTTGTTGTATTAATATTATTTGACTAAGTGTTATGTTTTCAGTGTCTGTTTGTGATTATAAAATGGTAAACAAACCTAACGTTTTTTTTTGATATAATATTTATTTTATTTTATCACTTTAAATAAAAAAAATGCAGCTGTGTATTTTATGTAATATTTGTGTGTGTACAATGCTGTGTACTTCCAGAGCTCATGTTGAGAATGTACCTCTAATGTTTAAGATCTGTATTGTTACAATATGGAAAAAAATCAATAAATTGGTTTGAAATTAAAAAAAAAAGAGACGAACATTTATTTTATGAATAATAGGGATTTATCTATTTTTTACCAAGTCCGATCTAAATAACTCTTACTTTCTCATAGAAACTTCGAGAATAACTATAAACAAATCAAATTCTACACAAACGTTCATCCACATAGCAGACCTTTCCTATTCTTCTGCTGATATAACCCCTGTATCCATTGCAGAAGATTGGAGACCATCTCATCGGCGTCTGCCTGTTGACTCGACTGAAGATCCGCTGAAAACCAGTTCATCATGAGGAACAAATTCACCATCGGTGGAAGAAGCCATCACCGACTCACAACTACGCCATAGCTGTTAGTCAATAAAATAGTTTTGGAAAACTCCTGTCAATAATCAAATTAGTATGAAAGTCCACGTTGATCTGAGTAAAAACGTACTAAGATAGGAAAGATATTCTTAGAAGAAGAAAAAACAATATTAAGAGATTAAAAAAGATTTTTTATAATTAGTATATAGTAAATTATCAATGTTTGATAACTGTTATCATATCTGTTATCATAGAATCGCCACAAGGTACCCACTTTAGGAAGCTTCCTCATATCAACAAATTAGTATAAAAATTGAAATTGATCTAAACCAATGCATGTTAGTTTTTTTTTTTTGGTAGATGAAAATGGTATGGTAACCCCGCCTGCGCTAACGGGATACGCTGGCGGAGCACCAGTGAAGGGTGATAGATGAGAATGAAAACAGGCCAGTTAGCCCGTCATGATGAATTCATCAGGAATTAACCATGATAGTTTCCAGGGGGAACCGCGAAAAGGGAGACCTGGTTGGGTATATGCACTATGTTAGTTATGAAAGATTTTATATCTTATATAATATAATACAAAGATATTTAATATTCTACAGATTTTTTTTCATATTTTTAATTATTAACGAATAAAATTATTTAACAAAATTAATCGACAATATATAAAATGATACATCGCATGTTTAAATCATCAAATGAATACGAAATTGGAATCAATCATCACTTGTCACCATTAGTCAATAAAAAAAAAAAACATTAAATTAGTATAAATTTTACATAAATGTACTATAATAGGAAATATATTGTATATAAAGAAAACTGATTCATAGTCAAATATAATACAAATAGGCGTAGACATTGTACGGTAAATGTATCATTACTTATAATTGTATAGACTTGTGAATTCATATAACACTTTTTTTAATGATGTTGATATTATTAATGACCGCCCAAGCACTTTTAAAAAGTTAATCCCTAAAAGATTCATGTAATTTTTAACTGTTCTTGTTTGCTTCAGCTATTTGTATTACGAGTATATTTGAATTTAAACTGTGGTAAACGGTGTTGGTGGCAAATTTACTCAATGTTTTCTTTGATTAATGTTATGTATTATTCTTTATTTTGCAACTGTTAGTTTTCCGAAATAAATGAGAAAAAAAAATTACTTATAAGTCTCTGATAAGTAACTTACATAAATAAATAACTTACGTACATAAATATTACCTGTAGAGTTAATCCAATAAACCGATATTAGAACTAAAACATTTGACACTCTCGATTTCCATACTGTTCTAGTAGATGTACATTAGTGCAACTTGTCAATGCAAAATATTGCAAACTGATTTCAATTTTAGTTTAATTAAAAAATTTTTTTTTCTTTCTTTATTCTTTATTGTATACAAAAGGTTATTGAAATGAAAAAAATAAACATAATAGTGCACAAAGGCGAGCTTATCTCCAAAAAGAGATTTCTTCCAGCAAAGCCAATATGAGAAAATTGACAGTTTATTAGTAGTTACAGTCATACATGAGTGTAGTATAAAATTGGCATTTGCATTACATTGTAATGCATGTAATGATATCGATATTAGATTCAAGAGTAGTAGAGTAGGCCTGTTGACATAATCTAATAAGTAATGTGAATATTTAACTAAATATTTTTCCTCAAACAAATAACAAAGATGTAGGAATTTTATTAAATTTTATTGTAACTATTAAATATCATTGCCATTTTTGTAAATTTTTACATTATATTTTGTAAATAGATATGAAATATTGTTTCCATATCATTTTATGTATTAATCATTTAATCAATAATTATTCATGTATTAATACTCGTTATTGTCTAATATAATATGTGATCAAGTTTCTTACTTACAATTTATACTAATTTATTAATTAAATTAGTATAAAATAGTATTACTACTTTATACTAATTTAATTCGATTTTAGAAATATTATTTTTTCTTCATTATATTTAAACAAATAAATATTACTGACATTGATATGTATTTTTTTCCACTTTAAGTTTGCTAGAAGAAAACTCTTGCAGAGTTCGGTCGCACTTATACATTTGTCTTCCACTATTATGTATCTGTATATATTATTCACTTGTACAATAAAGTATAAATAAATAAAAAATAAACATTGATAATTTACATAAAAAAAAAGTTAAAATTAAAAAGATAAGATATTCGACTCCCAGTGAACAAGAAATAGCCCTACATGGAGAAATGTTAATTCAAAGAAAATAAGATAAAAAAAAAGACCAACATTAGACGAAAAACAGCAGGACATGCAAGTTACGATTAATAGAAAAAAATCCACTCGAGCTAATCTAAAATGAAACAGTATTCTGTAAAGAAAGTTGGACAATTAGTTTATTAGTAAGTTATTTCAAACAGTATCTAGATATTACCAAAGCTGTACAATGGGTAAGGTATTAAACGATGTTGTTATAAGTTTCTACATTGTTATTATTTTATTGTTATATCGTCATAGTCGTAGAATACTGACGGATCTGACAAATATTACATATATAGACCCGTCGGTATTCTACGACTGTGACGATATTATTGTTTCTATACAGGGTGTAAAGGACAGGTTGGTCGTAACGTAAACAGCTGATACAGATGCATGATTTGAACCGGATGGCAGATTATTTCCCAACGGAAATGCACCACAGTCATATAATTAACGAGTCTTAGTTTCGAAAGCAAGCAATGTATTTGAAATTTTACGATCCCATCGCGCGATACCTACACCACCCCGGTCAATGACGCTTCTTCGTAGGTACCATAGTGTCGTACGTTTGTGGCGTTGACCTTACACCTGATTCCGCGCATCGCAGTAGAATTTTAATACGAATATTACATTGCTGTTTTTTTTTTTATTTAATTGTATATCACTATAAAATATTTTTTTTATATATATATTAGCACTTATTATGATGATTACATTATTTTAAATGAAAAAAATAATGATATTTTCCGGAAAGAATTTTAATTTTCAGTTTAGAACAATGGTCTGAATTCATTGTTTGGAAATTGGAAAAAATTGTTCTAACCTATCCCTTAAACCCCGTATATACAAACGTAAAGATAGTAATGTTGTATGTTTGTGAATATTGGTCAAATTTTAGATTAATAATTTACGTATATATTATATCGACTATAGGAGATATACGAGATATTGACTTTATAAATGCAGAGTGTTTAACAACCCGACTTATCCCTCTATAAGTGAATTTGTATTATAAATTTATATACAAAAATTGCACTTAAAACTTAAATAAATAAATTAAAAATTAAATAAAGTAATGATTTTGCCGTGTGGTCCCGGCATAGAACATGCCACCTCTTCCTTTTCCGTTAGTCTCGTAAGAGACGACTAAGGGAATTTAAATTGTCGAAGAATGGGCAGCAGCGTCTCCCTTGAAACATTACCAAAGCCTGACTACGGTTACCAACCCGCTTGCCAAGCGTAGCGACTGGCAACACCCCCTAAGGGGTAGGACTATGTTCAACAGTGGACAATTGACGGCTGATATGATGTATTAGATTTTATAATGCATGGTATAATAATTAGTTAAGTTAACAAATACTTTCACCAGAGGGAGACTTTGTACAAAAGTCGTTTGCTTGGGCAGCTCTGTCCTATTCGTGTTTCTACCGTGAAGCGATTGTGTTTGCATAGTTGTGTTTCGGTTTGAAGGGTGGGATATGGCATGAATTTACAGGGTACAGAGGAATGACACCTGAGTCCTCAGGAATGGCAACGCATGGGGGGTATCATGGGCGAAACAGTATACTCTGCTATGTCCACGGTACTGCTCATGTCTATAGGCGACGGTTAGCACTTACCATCAGGTGGGCCGTCAGCTTGTTTGCCATTCTAAGTTGTATAAAAAAAAACAACACCCTAAACTGCTCAATCAATAATAACAAAATACAATAGATTTTTATAGTATATAGCATTAAAAAGGAAATAAGTTGCTTTTTTATCTCCATCATACAGACAAAATCGTGGGCACAGATACGTGTTTATAAATTGTATTTCTATACTATTTTCGAAGAATTTAATATTGAGGGTCTCTCGACAGGACCTCGGCATATCATCAGGATGATATAATAGAATCAACAGTAGGCTGACCTTTCACATGTTTGTTTTGTAATGTTAATATAAAAACTATATACGAACGGTTTATGCAACAAAGCAAACTGTAAATTTTGTCACCAATAGACTTACTTTGTTGGTTTGAACTTGACCCACTTTTCCACTTTTAAGCATTGATGGCGATGACTATCAAGTATATCCAATAGTTAAAGTTCAATGGTAATGTGAAATCATTTTATAATAATGGGCAACCCTATTAAAATTTAAATTCTACAGTTTTATTGATTATATAATCTATGTCTAGACAAATAAAAGTCAATTTTCAAATACATATTATGGTTTATATACAAATTTACAAAAAATACTTTCTCCTTTCGGATTCTTAGGGCTGACTGTAAGAAATCCCTTTAAGGGATAAGTCCGCCTGTGTACATTTTTATTATAACCTAATATCTATATTATAAATGAATGTTTTTTTTTATACAACTTAGAATGGCAAACAAGCTAACGACCCACCTGATGGAAAGTGGTAACCGTCGCCTATAGACATGAGCAGTACCATGGACATGACAGAGTATACTGTTTCGCCCATGATAACCCCCATGCGTTGCCATTCCTGAGGACTCAGATGTTATTCCTCTGTAGCCTGTAAATTCACGCCAAAGCCCACCCTTCAAACCGAAACACAGCCATGCAAACACAACTGCTTCACGGTAAAAACACGAATGGGACAGAGGTACCCAAGCAATCGATTTTTGTACAAAGTCTCCCTCTGGTACAAAAGCATATAAATAAATTAAATAAATAAAGGAAATATATGTAAATGCATTTGTTTTGGAACGACGTTACCTATTTGGCTAGTTCTTTTTTTATTGTATTCATAATTGTCTGAATAAGTTTTGTATGAAATAAAAAGTTCAAAATATTGTACAGTAAAGTTAAAAATTTGAATAAAAAATGTCTATATAAAACAAAGAGGAAGAGTGAATTTTCAATTTTCTCACATTTTCCTCTATTGATACTGAGCAATTTTACATTTATTCGATTTTTATTTTCTAAAATTTGATATTTTATTATTTAGGGTACATACATAATACTCGTAAATTAAGAGCAAATAATAATATCTTGGATTTATTATTATTTAAAAAATTACATATAGCTGCGATTGCTAAATAGTCATTAATTATGTCATAAATTAGATATTACCATTACTAAACAGTCATTAATTATGTCACAATAAAATAATACTAGTTTAGAGTGACTTTTGTACTACATTTTATTGATTGGTACAAATTATTATACATAGTTTAATGCATTGCTTTGCATTGAACTATGTAATTGATCAGTTATTTTTACATAATATCACTATTTGTTTAGAAAACACAAATAAGTGAAAGGTGTAATTAAAAATGAGAATAAATTTCAATATTTAACGAGGCTTATGAAATTTTTAAACGATTGTGTGGCGGTTGCATATATTATGTGTTTAAGATACAAGCGAATCGCGTTTAGAGAAATACAATAACTCCAAAACTCGTTATTCTCTCGAATGGAAACAATTAAAACGTTTTTTTTTTATACAACTTAGAATGGCAAACAAGCTGACGGCCCACCTGACGCTATACGGTTCACGCTATATCCCACCCTTCAAACAAAAACACAGCCATGCAAACACAATTGCTTGACAATAGAAACGCGAATAGGATAGAGGTACTCAAGTAATTGACTTTTGTACAAAGTCTCCCTCTGGTAAAATCATCATCATTATTACGTCATCATTATTTATTTATTAGTACATGTATGTGTACAAGACGGACTTACTGCTAAAAGCATTCTCTCGCAGTCAACCTTAGGGAAGTGTTAGAGTACTCGAATATAGTACTACTAATAATTTATATACATATTTATTAAAAAGAAGAAGCAAAAGAGGTTTGTTTGAATCGACGCATTCTGCCTACTAATGCCTAATGAGAGGGAGGCGTAACAGATATGTATGTATGTATGTATATATATATATATATATATATATATATATATATATATATATATATATATATTTGCGACTTTATCCATTTAACGGAGATATTACATTTTGTATGGATTGAATGAGATAAAAATTAGTCTATATCCTTTTCTATCCTAAACACTATTATCCTTATTATTAATTATTATTATTAATTATTATATATATTATTGCATATTTTTTTCTTTATTTATTTAAACTTTAATGCACAGTAAAATTCTATGTACATTTATCTTGTTATTTTATTTATAACCTTATATCCAATAAATAAAGCTATACAATTAAACAAACAAAATGTATGTGTACCAAATTTCAAGACAATTGATTGAAGCTTTTGAGTTTTTGACCTACGTATTTTTGGTCAAAATTTTCAATTTCTCTCTCTCTCTCTCTTTAATGATAAAATACTCTCTTAAAATAATAATCGGTAATGAAATGGCTTCGTATGGTGATGTCATGATCAGAAATGAGAGCCATGTTATAAAAGAAAATGTTAAGTATGGGAGTGGATGGATGTAAAGGAAGGAAACAACTGAAGAAAAAGTAGATATAGTCCGTTTTGTTTTATAGTTTTATACAACTTAGAATGGCAAACAAGCTGACGGCTCACCTGATGGATAGTGGTAACTGTCGCCTATAGACATGAGCAGTACCATGGACATAACAAAGTATACTGTTTCGCTCATGATATCCCCCATGCGTTGCCATTCCTGAGGACTCAGGTGTTATTTTTCTGTACGCAACAATTCGATATCCCATTCAAACCGAAACACAGCCATGCAAACACAACTGCTTTACGGTTGAAACACGAATGGGACAGAGGTATCAAAATCGACTTTTGTATATAACGTCCGTCTTTTGTGAAAGATGATATGCATAAAAGAGGAGTGAATCCGGAAATGACAGTTGACAGGGATTTACGGAAGAAAAAGACATACTGCACCGACTCCAAATAAACGGGAAAAGCCAAGACAATGATGTATACTATCTTAAAAGAATTGTTATTATTCCAATTTCCAGTATCACTATGTACGCTTATGACTTGTACCAAACCAAATAGAGATACCAAGGTATGTGATCATATGATCTATGTGACGTATAAACGTTTGGAATATTACGGATAACACTATCTAGACATGTCTGCAATATATGTGATACCCATCCGTATATATTTACATTATGTACAGTCGGACAAATTTTTTTATATATATTCTTATTACTAATGTATATATATAATTATATATATAAATTTATTATTAAGGAGGCAAACGAGCAGACGGTCCACCTGATAGAAAACGGCTACATGAATGCCTGCAACACGAGAGGAATTGCTTGTGCGTTGCCCGCCTTTATATGCTTTAAATTTGTATATATATAATATATATATACAGTGGACGCTCTATATAAGCAACTCATTTAAACCAATTTCAATAAAAAAAATCTTATTGGGAAAAGTTGCTTATACGGAAAAAAAAAGAGTATAAAAATACTTACAGTCTAGAATTATTTTATTTTTTTTATCTATTTTTACTTATTTCTCTTATTAACTAAGCTGAGTAGAATATATATTAGTTATTATATCTCATAATGCTTATAGTTGTTTTGATGTATGTATATGTATAATATATATATGTATGTATATATATTTCATATGTATTAGATATATTAATGTTTATGTATTATATGTGCATTTCTTATGTATATATTATATTTATATTGTGTATTGCCTTGATGTGTTACTATAATTGTCACATATTTTTCACCACATCTGCCCTTCATACGCTTTCTGTTTTTACCCAATGGTTAGCTGGTAGAGAATGCCATATGGCATTAAGCTCGCCATTTGTACAAAGTTTTATTGTGCAATCAAGAATAAATAAATAAATAAATAAAATATAAAGAATGTTGCTTATATAGAGTGTTCACTGTACTTACATATTTCCAGCTATAATACCTAATAAGATTATTTATTGACTGTTCCTATAGTAATAAACGTAACAATCAACATGCTCCTCCAAGTAACCCACTCTCCCCCGGACATATTAGAATCCAACATGGCAAAGAGCGGGTCTGCCGTTGTCACTTGGATTAATGATGAAATACGCTGATAAGAATTCTTCTTCCAATTCTTATCAGTGTGAAATTTTCAAAAATGGAAGAGTTATTTTTGCTCGAGATTTTTAAGATTTTGTCGTTGACTGTACAGAAGATATATTACGTGCATAATTTAAATACAGTGCAAACAAGGCAAAATATATGTACATAATTTATTCATAAATAATGTATTAATGACTTTATAAATCTATGTATGGGCATTATGTTTTTTATGGCAATGATGATTTTAGAATAAATTAAAAAAATTAAATAAAAATAGAACATAAATGTATATTTAATAAAAAATATTATTCCGTTTTTTAAATACAAATATAACATATATAGTGAAAAAACCAGTCATATGTTTATAATTGATTATTCTTTGTAGATTATTTAATAAATGTAACTAATAATAATTATTTTAGAACATTTTTTTTTTTATTGCCAGTTCATTTAATAAAGAACGATCGCCTATACAAATAAATAAATAATAAATACAATGCCATGGCTGTCACAGAATACACTGTACCAGCTATTGTACCTCAAGCTGATACTTCTAAAGACTATCGCATTAAGGCTTCTATTTGTTATAATATAAAAATAATACATAAGTATGTATTTATGATTTAAACTAAATATATTTTACCTTTTAAAGTAAGTGAATATAGTGTAGTATAGTGTACTATTGACACGTGTATAGATATTGTTGTCATATTTAGTTAATTATAGTATATCAAATTATATATATAAATATATATAATATATAAGATTAATAAGTTTAGCTTTCCTCATGAATTCAATTACTTTGCAAAAGCCCAATATTTTACAAAACAATTTTATAAATATTTAAATGACATTCACAAAATAAATTTTCACAAAATGCATTTTAATATATTTATTTATTAATGTTAACCCGTAAATTATGTAAACGAAATGTAAACACAACCTCGAAATTTAAACAGATTAATTTATTTGTTATTTAGAAATGTAAACAACTAAATATGACCAATAATATAAGCGTGAAGAATCAATATAAAACAAGTTAGTCAACGTTATTTGCACGAGATTGCATAGGCATTGCATATTTTGTTGACACTAAGTGTACGTACCATTCCTATTTCTAGGCTTGCGTGGTTCTGTAAGAATATATATGTATAATTATATTTTTGTGTTCAATCAAAAATGAATCGTCGTAACATGTATACATATACCAATTTCGAGTGAAACAAAAATATAAATCTTGTAATATAAATTTCGTAAATTACAATATATTTCATGTTAATGTTTAATATAATTACTAATAATTTATAAATTAAACAATATAAATTAAATATTTTCAACAGTTAAAACAATTTTTTTATTATAATATAATAAATTTAACACCGATAATACATGTATAAATATAATTATATTAATTTTAACAAGTTTATTTATAGATTAATAATAAATGAAAGTCTAACTAGCATGTAAGTGTTAAAATATAATTTACATATATTTTTAACTGTTATAAATGTTTTATTGCATTAAATATAATTATGTAATATAATTTGTTAAATCTCTTTACCAATATGAATGAATTGATAAATATTACGAATTATGATGATGAAATTATTTATTACCAGTATTTTATGGCTTTTCTGTAATATTACATGCATTTACCTAATTAAAGGTTACATCATGCACTATACAAAATAATTAATATAATATGAATTAAATTATTCCCTTTCTCATTTTCATCAATTATATAAAACGTGTAAATATAATAACTAGTCTCAATAAAAAAAATATATAATAAATAAAATAAAAAATAAATAAAAATGAAACTTAGTGTTTCAAGTTAAAGTTTAATTTGCCGTTAATTTTTAAATATGTCACTGAATTTGTTTTAATAAAAGGTACACACAAACGAGGAACTAATGTCGAAGTTCTTTTTTATCCGTCAAAATAATAAATATAAAATTATATTGTATAAAATACACGTGCAAATTCACAACTGTATCAGTTGGGAATTTTGTCGTCCCCTCCAGACATTAAAGTCCCTCGTTTACGCGAAAAAAAAAAGTTAAAACTATGATTTATTATATATTGAACTACTTACGGAATCTAGACTGCGTGTCGGCTGCGCTCGCGCACACCACCAGCGTTAGAAGCACAACGCTAGCGCACCACCGCGCCATCTATGGAAGACAGAAATGTTTAATTTAGATGAAAAGACTAGAATTAGAATGATGTCACACCGATATAAAAACAAATACTATGTCGGTTAATACCCAGTGGCCTAGAGGCTGTGATCTGCGGAGTTGAAGCCCGGGTAGTGGGGTTCCCTACCTGACCCGCCACTTTTATACGGCGAGTAAGACTAAGTAAGACCAGAGGAAGACTTTGTACAAAAGTCAATTGCTTGGGTACCTCTGTCCCATTCGTGTTTCTACCGTGAAGCAGTTGTGTTTGCATGGCTGTGTTTCGGTTTGAAGGGTGGGATATGGCATAAATTTACTGGGTACAGTGGAATAACACCTGAGTCCTCAGGAATGGCAACTCATGGGGGGTATCATGGGCGAAACAGTATACTCTGTTATGTCAATGGTACTGCTCATGTCTATAGGCGACGGTTACCACTTTCCATCAGGTAGGCCGTCCGTCAGCTTGTTTGCCATTCTAAGTTGTATAAAAAAAACCACTCCATGGAAAATAAATCCATTAATTAATGTTAAACATTTGCAAAATTAAACTGACCCCCCCCCCCCCATCGTAATTTCAAGGTACAATTAGCATCTCGTGTCAAAGATAAGCACTATTGTTGCGCATACGCAGCACCGATGATAAATCAAATGCCTGAGAATCGAACCAGCTACCACAATGCACAATAACGTGTAACGTGAGACGTTTTACGCAACCACTTTGCAAACTTCACCTTAAATTTATAAACGACGTTTGAACCTCAAATTTGATTGTTAAATTGGCAAATTGATAAGAATCTACAGCTGTTATGAGATTAAGTTGGCAAATTAACAGGAACCCACGGTCGTTCAACAGTACTTGTTGTTAAAATTATCTATGATTGATCTATTATTAGTAATATTACTATACTCCGCACGTTGTAGTATGGTGCGTGTGACAAGATATTTAAACTCTTAGATTAAACACTTCTAGATAGGGCATCTCAATAGAAACGCTTTTACTAAAACGTTCCAACTGAGTGCTTTATGACAAAAGATACATAAGAACTCTTATGGTACAGCTTTGCCTGTCCATCTATTCATGCGTCTGATTGTTACTGTGCAATGTTTAAACCTTAGCCAGTACTAATATCCGCAGAGACTTAGCGTTAAAATATGAATAAATGAATGAGTATACTTTATTTGCATTATACAATATAGGAAATAAACAAGACAATTTATAAACGCAACGATACAATTGTATAAGTACAGTGAGACGGTCTTATTGCTGAGAGCAATCTTTTCAAGACAACCTTAGGGTAATAGTTAGTCTATTTGTACAAGTGTACAAATAGAATAGTATTGTTGTACAAGTAGGTATTGTATATATATATATATATATATATATATATATATATATATATATATATATATATATATATATATATATATATATATATATATATATAATCGGTAACCACTTACTATCAGGTGGGCCGTATGCTTGTTTGCCACCTCAGTGGTATAAAAAAAATATATATATAAACTGATGCTATCGGATTAATATTTGGTATAGTTTTGGATATTATTTGGCTACCAATATAATTTTTTTTTTTAAATTCATTACTTCACTATACATTTTTTTTTGTTTGAATATAATGTTCTAAATTTAATCTGAAGGATTTTAATCGATTTACTTACTAGACTGATAAAACTATTTATTTGTGTTGAGAGTAATTTACTAATTAATAATTAAATATGTATGACAGTAGCAAACTAATTAAGTTAGGCAGCAAGGTCTCCGACCTTAGCCTGTTCCATAACGGAACAAACGTCCTAAAAACCAATTAAGTCAAATTTCTTTCGTTTAAAAACAATATGCGTCAGATAAATGTTATTCATCTGTCATTATGACATATTACAATAAAAAAAAAGATTATAACTACTCTACGCTCAGATGAATGCTTTATGGGTCTATGTTACATTATGCTTATTTCACAATGGCAATTTTTCCCCATTAGTGTTACTAACAAAATTACAAATAAACCTGAGATGTAACCGTTATGTATGTTTAGTTTTGTTTCCGATTGCGTACTACACAAGAACATACATTTTAGTATTAAGAACTCGTGAGAGGGCTATTATAGTAAGTATGCGCTAAATATAGTGAATCCACTTACATATATTTGTTTCAAAAGCACATCGATTTTGAAACAATCTCTCTAAAAAAATTTTTATACCACAAATGTGGTAAACAAGCATACAGCCCGTCTGATGGTAAACGGTCACTGTGACCTATGGACGCCTGCAATACTAGGGGTGTCACGTGCACGTTACCGACCCTGAAGAAACATTAATATACCCTTTTTGACGAACCTCGTAGATAGATACTCTTTATTGTTTCCTCCAAAAGATTACAATAATAAACTTATTATAAATATAAACAATTACAAGAAATAATCACAATGAGAAAACTATGGGCGGCTTTATTGCTTAGAGCGATCTCTTCCAGGCAACCTTTGGATGGAGAGGAGTACTTTACTTAACTTAGAATGGCAAACAAGCTGACTGCCCACCAGATGGAAAGTGGTAACCGTCGCCTATAGACATGAGCTGTACCATGGACATAACAGAGTATACCGTTTCGCCCATGATACCCCCCCCCCCCCCGGAATAACATCTGAGTCCTCAGGAATGGCAACGCATGGGGGGTATCATATATATATATATATATATATATATATATATATATATATATATATATATATATATATATATATATATATATATATATATATATACTAACACATATACAAATACATACATACATACTGTAGTTTCTCAGCTCATTTTACGGCCTGAGCGTTCGTGGGAGAAAATTTCTCTGAAACCGCACGGTACGTGACCATTTAATATCAAGGCGGCTGTGAGCATCATTTCAAACAATTCCTCAGACAAGCTAACTGACCTGCTCTCATCCTCACCTATCATCCCTTGCTAGTGCTTCGCCAGCGTATATTATTCCACAAACGGGGTTACCATTCCGTCGTCACTCATTAAAAAAAAAACACTGCCCTAATAACCTGATGCTTATCAACCATCTATTAAAACATCACAAAGTCGGTCGCATCGTTTGAGATACGACTAGAGATACGAGATATCTTTCTATGTTACAACCTCAAATTGAACACCGACTGTGAGTAAGTACGTACCATTGTTTTAATAAGGTTTTTGAAATGACCTCTGATGTAATGAAATGCCGGTTGAAAACAGACGGGCGTTTTAAAAGCGGTTGGAACGAGAGAGAAATATATTTTTTGTCAATCGAGAGTAATTTATAAGTATTATATCTACCATCGTCTTAATAACATTTTTGAAATCACTTTTCATGTTGTTTTATAAATAACCTTTCAGACTGGAATAAGGTAAAGCAAAAATATTGTACTAAAAATTTATATCTTACTCACTTTTACTTTATAAAAAAAAACTACTTAAACCGTTACAAAATAATTTCACTATTTTTTATTTCGTAACAAATACATCGATTAACCCTTAATATTTTTTTTATGTGAATAACTGGCAAACGAGCATGCGGCTTACCTGATGGCAAGTAAACACTATAACCCATCGACACTAAAGGAATTGATTCATAGATACGTTTATTTAGTTTTGAAATATTCTTTAGAAATAACAGATTTTAAATTTAGAAAGCATAATGAAGTCAATCGTAATGGTCCATGTTACACTCAATGCGCCCACATTTCGCCTATTTCATTTATGAGTAACTTCTAAATTTTTGAGACCAATGTGGGAGTAGATCGTATAGATTACAAAAATAATTGTAAAAGTTGACTCAGAATTGATGACTTAATCACGTAACGTGACCGCAAAAAAGTTTAAACAAATCGAGAGCCTCCTTCTATTGCGAGTCGCTTAAAACTGTAAACGAAATGTAACAGTTTATATTAAAATCTTATATTATTTATGTAATAATATGTCAACAATATGACTCTTTTTACTTGGTGCAATAAAGTGTAAATAAATAAATAAAATAAATAAATATGTACTGCGTAGGAGATACATAAAGTGTCAGAATAAGGACAATAAAAGCTAAAATGTTTGTTTCTCTAACTGTATATTTGTTTCGATATCACTTAAAAACTACTGTACAAAATTGAAAAAAATTATTACAGTTGTATTATTGAATATCTAAATAAAAATCTGGGGCATACTTTATCTAGATACGTCATCTATAAGTGGTCTATCTCTTTTTCTTCTTCCAACCCTTAATCTCAGCTCTATTTGGGGTCAGGTCTCCTTGTATAACGACTGTAGGACATTCTGTCCTGGATTATCATACTATAAATTATCAATTTTATTAGTACAAAATTCACTCGTATGACATTTCTAAAGAAAGCTAGTAAATAAATAAATAATAATTTTATATTGAACACGTTCTTATTTTTTTACACATTGACCGCTTTGTCAGTCACATGTGACTGACACATAAAAATCCTCATAATTTCCCACATAAATGCATACCAGAGGGAGACTTTGTACAAAAGTCGATTGCTTGGATACCTCTGTCCCATTCGTGTTTCAACCATAAAGCTGTTGTGTTTGCATGGCTGTGTTTCGGTTTGAAGGGTTGGATATGGCGTGAATTTACAGGGTACAGAGGAATAACACCTGAGTCCTCAGGAATGGCAACGCATGGGGGGTGTCATGGGCGAAACAGTATACTCTGTTATGTCCATGGTACTGCTCATGTCTATAGGCGATGGTTACCACTTTCCATCAGGTGGACCGTCAGATTGTTTGCCATTCTAAGTTGTATAAAAAAAATCAAAGTAAATAAAATATTCATATCTCTACATAATTTATTAAATATAACTTGCAAACAAAAGAATTTTTATGAAAAATGTGTTAAGAAAAATATTCAATTTCGTTTCGACCGCCCGTCTGTACAGTACATCAGACTCACAGACCTATATACATTACATAAAGCACATCAATGT